GCAAACCTGGTTGCCTGAAAGGAACACCTTGCAACACATTGGCCCATTCAAACATTGACGTGCTTGGGCTTGACCTTCCAAGGCTTGACCGTGTTCGTCTCCCTTCGTCTCCCTCGGTGCACGGTCGATGTGCGGTCCAAGGTCGATGGCCTCGGACATCTGAGGGACGTGTTCATAAGGCAAAGGTCCACCCAAGATCTGGCGAGACGTGCGCAACGATTGGATGGTGGCACGGACCCTGGGCACGAAGGAGAGAGGAGGAGGAAAACAACAGCAGCCAGGAATCCAGTTGTTAGAGAGAAGTGAAAGGGGGGAAATGTGATTGCAACTTAGTGAGACATCTGTGCGGATCGAAAACGCGCCCCCCCGGTTTGGGAACACTGGAACAATTTCACGTGGTAGTTTGCAGTGAGCCGGGTGTTGTCAACATGTTCCGTTGGTTAAAACAACACATATAACAATAACAGATATTTGTTTCGAAACATTGCGTGCACAAAACAGGACGTCAGCCACACTCAGCTGCTCTTGGGCCCGCAGTTTCCCCAACTTCACTCGATATTGCTTGCGGAAGCAGGCCAGCCACCTGCGCTGGCATCGCCGGGAACCATTCCGACGGAAGCAGCGCACCAACAAGCCACGGACCACTGTGTTTTCCACATGGCTCTCGCAACGCACACATTCTCAAATTTTGCCTCCTGCTTTTCCGACCCGGACTTCAGGTCATTGGTTGAGCATTTTGCTCGTGCACTTCAGTAAACTGCATGAATTTTGGTGGATTCATCGAATATGTCACTGTCACATCCAAAACACCAGGTTTTGTTAGTTTTTCCTAGTTGAAGTATACAAGTATCACACTTTCAAGCCAAACATAAGCCCCAAACAGCCAAGATAAGACTTCGAGATTGGTTCGACTTCTTTTGTGCAGTCGCATCTTCAGCAACCGTGCACAACAAACAACAGCAAAACCAAGGACACTGATAGTTCTTGAGAGCGAAGTCTTTGGCCAAAAGCGGACATAGAGTTTGGCATCATTTCTCAAAATCATAGCTCATTCCGCAATCTTTCAGCACTTGCAACGACTTTCAGCACTCTTTCCCTTGACTCCACAGGCGTCGACAGCTGTTCGTTCTGTCTCCACAAGACCCCAGAAGTGAACAGGGTGGCCCCACGAATTCATGAACCTGAAATGGTTGCACGTACATGCGTGTGCGCAACGGTGTTTGTCCTCACCAGAATCAGACTTTATGATGCTTTATGTTCTTGTCAGCAAAAGTCTGATATGGCTTTGCGCGCGAAGGCTGAAGTGCAAAGGTGTTAATGTTGGCAAGTGTGGATAAGCTTGGGCGGATGTGATCATTTGTTGGGTCTCCGCGTGCGTTGCGGATGCTAAGGCGACGACATTGATGGAATGGAGTTGCTGCGGGAAGCATGGGGGGGGTTGGGGGGCTAATGTACGTTGTGCATGCTACGGCAACGACATTGATGGAATGAAGTTGCCGAGGGAAGCACGGGGGGGATGACACGGAAGTGCAAGCAGTGGAGTTCACTTGGAAAAAACACTGTCTCAAACAGAGATCCCGAAGGGATGATGCGAGTGCAAGTGAACAAGTGGGAAAGCTGCGAAGAAAGCGGTCTGTTTTCATTGAGCTTGAGCCAAAGGCGTCAGTCATGTACATAGAATGTGAGACCTGATTGGGGTGAACAGACACGCAAAGACTTCCTAGACCTTGAAGCTGACAGCCTTTGGCCCTTCAGCTGAAAACATACTACGCCAAAAGCACCACAGGTGTCCGTTTACAGGGCCACTTCAATCCTCTTCAATACATATCAACAAATGAACGTGGGCCACAATTCTCATTCTGTAAAAGATTGTAAAAGGACATATGGTCAGGTTTGGCTGTAGGCTGCCAGTAAGCCACCATCGCAGGTTTGGCGCTTCTCTTACATCCATCCCGGATCAATCGCCAGTCTTCGGCTTGCCTCCACCAAGCAACAGCCCAAGCTCCAAATGTCCACCTAGCTGAACAATGACGAACGTCCGGTCGTCTCACGACGGAAACACGAGTAGTTTTTCTGCAAAAGACAGGAAGTTCTTATAGAAGTCTGAAGGCTTGCTCTGATGCACTTGGCGAAATAATTTCACTTTTCTTGTGAATTTGCCAGTCCCCTAGTAGCGACAAACCAACGATAAGGGATCCTCAAAATTCCATGCCGAACGTCGACAGGTGTCGGCACGTCTGAGGTCCGAGCTCGACTCCCAACCAAACATGTTTTTCCATCTTTTTTTGATGGGTACATGTTGGATTGAGTTTGTTTTCACCAAATTCTAGGATTTGGTAACCCAAGCTAATTACAATGTGGATTTCTGTAGTTTGCAGTGGCTTGCTTCATTTCAATTGAACAAACTTGTGGCACATATCTCCAAAATTGAACTCTCCATCTGCAAACATTCCTTGCAGCAGTTGAAATAGCACTTCAAAGGCAAACTTCCCTTGAATCCCTGCAAATAGTACCAAAGAGATACTCTGTATGCTGCCAACAATTAATCATTAGTTGTATTTTTAACAATCTCCACGACTTCTCTGACTCCGGCTATACGTAGATATCCACGTAAACGGATGTTTTTAAAATGCGATCTTGACCCTCTTTTTTTCCTAGCAACCATTTCAGTGTTTTCTGGAGCTGGCATCCCCACCTTCTCGGTGATACGTTGCCCGACCAGGAAGCACTCAGGGGCCATGTACCGGGGCGAACCGCCGGTGTCCTGGTGCTGCGGGAAAAAAAGGAACGGCATCGCACCTTGTATCACCTTTTGTGACCAGATTGGGGAGCAAACTCCAGAACAGGCCATGAATACATATATATATATATATTAAACGATCCAAACGACCTGGCGCATAGCCATCTCGTGGATCCCTGCTCCATGAATTTAGTCAGCATGCCACACACAAGAAGCCACACGGCAGCCGCCTTTAATAACCAGTTGCATTTGGACACACGGCCGACTCAATTACCTGGTGGATCTTTGATGCGAGCCATGACTGGCAATCGAGTCCATTTTTTTAAAGGGTCCTTTGTATGTGATTTTCATCGGGTCAACATATGTAACTCTCCCAGTCCCATAGATGGTCTGGGCATCGTTTATCAGGTCGCTCCCAGGCAGAAGGAAGGAACTCAAATGAATGAATCTGAGTGAATTAATGATGCTGTGAATCGGCGATGGGCAACCTTTTCACTGTGACCTTGATGAAAAGCATCCGGTGGACCACTTGGCGATCAGAAAAGACCGGCCCACACGGATACTTGTGCTCTCCGAGCCGGGAAAGATCGAGTTTAGGATGAACATCTGCGTTAGTTCTGGTACCTATCTTAGACTTACTGTAATTCAATCAGCCTCAATAGGGAAATCCGCAGGTGCAAACATGCACACCCTTTCAATGGTGCAATTCCATTCGGGCAACGTAGCTCACATTATCAAAATTTATCGTTTCTCTTTCGGGGAAGGCCACAGAGGCAAGCACACACGATGTCAATGATTGATGCATTGTCACTCGGGCAGCGTAGCCGACATCGCAATTGATTTGCTCGTTTTTCATCGGTTTTTCAAAAAACCTGAAAAACACAACATTCTATATAGAGCAAAAAAGCACCCCCCCAAGCTAAAGCTCAATGAGCGATGTAGCAATTCTAGCGGCGCCTCAGCACCTTCGGTGCGAGTGGCCTCCCTTCCCACGTGCAGTTTTGAGACTTACTAGTCAGAAAACCGGTAGGCCTAACTACTCGCGACAGGCCCCTTGCTCAGGGCACAAAATCCACTCCCTGCCAGTTTGTGGGTGATTTTCTTGCATACACCATGTCTCTTGTTCATATTTGCTTGCCAAGGGTGCGGCGCAGGTCCAGTTTGAGATACAAACCACTAGATACCTGGGTCATATCCAAGGGGCCTGTGGTGCGGATTGCGAGTGTCGCTTGCATAGGAAACTCGTCCCAACTACCTGTGGCTCTGGCAGTTTCAATCTTGTTCTTCGTGCCAAAGCTGTCGTTTGTTGAGCTGGTCCATGTGACTCAGACTCATATTTTTGTTTATCTCTGTCTCTCTCTCTATATATATATATATATATACATAGCTGTTAGGAGCATGTCAGAGAAATCCTGGCCCAGATCGCAATCTGCGGGTCAAATTTCTCACAATCGAGGGATCCCATCCGCTTGAATCGACCAGAAAGTCGATGGGTTTAACAAATCCATGGAAGCCAACTCGACGCATGATGTGTTGGAGAAACATGCTGAAGCAGGAGGACAGCACCCACGAGCAAATATATGATATGTACATTTAAATGTGTAATGTACAGTATGTCTTTCCCTCTTTTGGGGATCGGTGGAGAGTCGCTTCACCGGTTCAAGCGGTGTATTTGTTCAGTATTTTCTCTTAAAGGGACTTAGGAGACGCTGCCTCTCAGCCAACTTTGGTGCATTTCCAAACCAACCCTTCATCTATTCTGAGAGGCCAAGAATAGAATGTTGCTAGTTGGCCCTGAAGGCAGCTGGCATGCAGTCCCGGGGTCAATGATGTTCAGTTTCTTCAAGTGGAAGAGACGACTGGATTCATCGGAGGACAACGATCATCAGTCGCAGCTCCTGGTGTGTGATGGTCACACTTTCCCCATGGAGCTCCTCGTGACCGAGCTCATCCGAGCTCGCGGGATGGGGTGCAACGATCGCGGAGGGGGCAGAACACCGGACTGAAACCCTATAGGTCAGAAACAACCGCACACGGAGCCCGTGTCTTGGATGGATGAGTCTTTAGACCCAAGAAGCCTTGGACACGGATGGACAGTGGATGATTCCTTCTTCGTACGTACTTTTTCGCCTGCTGCAAACTTCATCTACAGTAATCAGTTATAGGATAATATCCACAATCCAAACAAATTTGTGTAGCTCATCAGCCTCCTTCAAGACTGAGAATGTTGTGCAGCAGGCTGCCATTCACAGCATCGTCGCTACGGGCACGTTGCGGCAGTGTCTTCCCCTCGCACTCCCATGGGCGGCATCTCCTGAGTCTTCCCAAAGTCACAGACCTTGATGTTCCATTGCTTGTCAAGGACCTGCGAGGGATCGGAGCCCCGAGCTTGTTGAAAAAATTGAATAACTACATTTGAATGCTAGATTCTAGATAATACTGGCAAATTGGGAGCCGGATGATATGCAGCTCCATGGCTATGATTTCTGCTGTCAGCACCGCCCACCGTCGGCACCGGTGCACCACGCCAAGGCCTGGCCACGGTTCCCGTCCCCCTTTTGGGCCGCGGCAAGTGAGCTCCTCGAGAGCTGTCTCGCTCAGAAACAAGCGGCCCGTGGTGCCGAACCAGTCCCCATCCTGGGCAGTGCACCGCACCGCAGGGCTGCAGTACTGCCGCCAAACAAGTTCGGCTGCTCTTTTTCGGTTGGGCTCGTTCGTTTTGAAGGGTGTGCAGCTTGGTTCAGGGACTGTTGGTTGGGGGCGACACTTTGTAACGTCTTTGCCACGCTCTTCTTATTTTCGTTTCGGGGCTTCGCGCTTTCAAAAGAGAAGGTGTTGACCCGAACCGAAGCATGGAATGCAAATAATATGAATAATATGAAATAATCAAACCGTGTTTCTTTGTGGAACAACTGAACTGGAGTGTCTGGTTGGAAGCTATCAGCTATCGACATAGGAAGAAACCATCTTGGTTTTCCGGCTCGTGCAGCAAATCCACCACCTCTACCTCATTTGACTCATGGTCGTCCACCTTGGAAACATGTGCATGCAAACTATTATATATGACCGCCAGCAGCACAATTGCAGGGTTTCAGTCATGGGGCATTGCTACACACATTTCAATCACCACCAGAAATAAAACGCAAGATAAAATCTGTAGAGAAACACCAATTTTTTTGAGTGTCCCAAGTGTTCGCCATTCGAGCATGTGTGTGTGGCCTGACACCTAGCTGTAGCTCAAACTGTTTTGAACCCCCTTCCCTGACTTTATAGCATATAGCATGGTGGGGTTACATTACCATAGTAGTCAGTAGGGGTCCTTTTGCAACTCAAATGTTGTATATATATATATACTGTAAATTTTCTACACTGATTTCCGTCTCCTTCTCGTTAGAGGGGTTTTTCTGTTTGCCAGCACGGCTCTTTAGTGGTAGAGCCGCAAGCGGGGAGCTCTCGAGCGGGAAGCAGGGACGGCACAACGGGAAGCAGGGACCAGGGCGTCGTTTGGCCGGTTTGAATCCGCTGGATCTTCCGTCTGGATCTTCACAGCTGGGCAGGTACATGAGATGTGATGTGAGACCTAGCTGAAGGACCTCCATCAACATGAATGAATGTGGCTGATGTGAAGGAATGAGACCCAGGTTATCCTAGGTCTATAATTATAACTTTATTATTCACATTTGCCTCGCTGTTAAAAAAACCTTGGACCCTAGCATATTCTTCATGGGTGTCTCCCCATCACGACAGAATTCCTGGGATGGTGCCAGAGTCTGGAGAATTTGGGATAGCCATGTCACATATGCCATCTCCGAACACTTGGACAGGAGCCTTCCTTGTGCACGACAAGTGTGCAGGTACATCTGCTCAACAACCCCAAAGCCAATAGCACTTGCTCAGGCTCTTGGACTTCCCCAACACACATGCAAACACCTCCAGAGCAAGACATTTAGGTCTACTGCACCCACCCCAAAAATAACATGACGCTCTTTCTCTCCCCCGCAAGATGCCCTCCGCTCCACCATGTTTGGTCCTTCAATCCCTCGCGTCGCCCACTCGCCTCCACCGGCAGACCCAACTCTTCCAGCCACGGCCGGAGCCGTGGCGCCAAGACGGGGCGACCCCCGTGGCGCCCAGCACCCGTGACCAAGAGCAAGCCTGTCGCGGCTCGTGAGGCACCGCGACAGGACGGACGTCGGAGAACGTGACGTGACCGCGAAGGATGGTGTTTCAAGAAGCTGCTGAGGCTGCCTACGGGTATGACAATGACTAGAAAGAGTAATGAATAGTCCAGACACCAAATAGTCCAGACACCATGGCGATATTGCCGTGACAGAAATTGGTGAGGAATTCCATCCAAACCTCAAGAGACAGTGATGTAAATAGTGTCTGATGGTGGTGTCTGCGGTGTCTGCTGCTCCAAGACATCTTCACAAATCCATAGAAATCCCACAGTTGTTATGTGTCAACGCTTTGCCACAAAGCCAAAGCGACTCCGACTCCGCTCCGACGGCCGTCTGCGCGGCAGGGGCGGCCGGCGGCAAGGCCAGCGCCTGAGCTGCGGGGGCCCTGGAGGGCCAAGTCCAGGAGCTGCCGCATCACGGCCAACTTCGCCAGCTCCTGGGTTACCGGGGTCTGGTCGCATGTTTTCGCCGCATTTAAAGCCTACGTTCTGCTCTGCCCCCCCCCAGCAGGTGCAGTGGAAGGTGATCTGAAGATCTATCCAAAAGGAACATCTACAGTACTTTTTGACAAAAGAAAAAGGCCAGCACACTGCATGGCGTTTTGCAAAGAGGAATCTTCCTAGGGCTCCAGATGTTAGGTTTATGAGGATATCTTCCACAAAGTGCTCCCTTTGAAATTCCTCCTAGCCTATGTTGCATCAAGGCCTATGCTGCATCAAGCTTTTCGTGGGATTGCTCCACACTACTCACTAGACATCTGAAGACTGACGCCGCACGAGATGCCATAAATCCTCCATCAATCAACATATACAGGCCTAGCGGCCCGTCCCTATCACCTCACTTGACGCTGAGAATGATGCAACAGTTTGGCACCCTGGTGATGACCCCAGTCACCCCTTGCGAGAGTATCTTCAACGGTGGATCAGAATGATCCACAACATGATCACAAGTGAGGCAAACTTTTCTGCGTCCGACATGCACCAACTGCACCGGCTCCAAATCTGCCCCACCCCAACTGCACCGCTCCACGGGGAAGCAGTGCAAGTCCAGGTCAGCGGAGGGGAAGCGGCCGGTGTCCAGCCACTGGGCGTTCAATCCGTTGTCCTCTCAAGCTGGGCGCTGGGTGGATGATGGATGGTATGGATTGCACGAGCATGAATAGAAGACACCCGGATTTTCAAGCTGTGGGAGATGAAGAAAATGCAGTGAACTGAATGCAGTGAACTGTTTTGCAATAGTTTGTTCTGTGCCATTCTATTCACCTTTTCCTCTTCTTCTTCCCCACTCCACACTCTCCTCACTCTCCTCACTCCTCCGCCTCGCGGTAGAGCGCCAACGCCTCGGCCAGGCGACCGCAGTTCAGCAGCGCTGACGCAGCAGCGTTCAAGGCCACCTCGGTCGCGAGCCCGGCCCACGGTCTTTGATGTGAGCACACATGTTTGCACAACAATCTGTATCTGTGGGCCAATATTATTTTGCACCGACTTTTGCAGTATGGTCATACACATACACATGTGTGCAGATCGCACATGAGATATTTTGGAGCACATAAAAGGACTGCAGTGGACTACCCTAGGCCCGGCCGACTACTGATGGGCTCCTATTGAACACCTCTTGGATGGTCTAGGTTGTCTGCGCTGCTTTTAATGAAATGCGTGCCTATACATAACAGATCATAAGAGATCTTTTATATGACTTTTGAATATGTTTGTTGTGGTGTATAAGAGTATACTATATATAGATACGCATGTGTACGCACCATCACTATACTGTCTACTTGGGGACGTACATGTGCTCTATATGATTCTGCGATCTGCATCCATGTATATGTGATTGTATGTGCATTATATGCTATACGGTATACCGGTATACCGTATACCTGACCGTCAGATTGGAGTCGGGCATGACTTTTGCATCATGTTGCATCTATGAATCACATCAAACAAAATGGTAGAACCAACTCTTGTAGAAATTTTCTCAAGAAAGGAATCTCTCCCTGGTCACTCCCAACACCCACAGACCGGCAAGGGGGGGGTGATCAGGGTGTTGGAATGTATTACCTTTGGAGTGCAACAAATCATGGAAAAAACCAGTTGGACGCCCCGAATAGGTCGCGAGTAGGACACAATGACAGCTCGCTCGGATCGGTTCGAGGCATCATCTTCAAGATCAATGTGGAACCTGCCAGAATAGGTCGCGAAGAAGGTCACAAAGAAGGCTTTCAATTTTCTCCACTCAGACCGGTCACAAAGAAGGTGTTCGAAGCGTGAAATCGATCCATCCAAGTAGCTAAGTTGGGTTGTGGGCCATGGTCCTGCATCTTGGCCTTGGGCGCCGCAGGGAGAGGACATGGCGCCAGGGAATGCTGCTCGATTCCCCCAGACATGGTCATCCCTTCATGAGTTTTATGGACAAAAGGAACTCTTCTGTACATCTGGACACAGGATGCATGCGAATCACCAGCACTGTCCAGGGCTCTGGCTAGAATGGCAAGGGCGGATTCCTCAGAATGGCGCTCTCAAGCCATCGGCTTGTCCAGGCAAAAAAAAATGCCAATAACACTAGTACGAACTTTTTCTGTCTTAAACATATCCTGTCTTGAAAATATCCAAACCCCTATAGGGTAACCCCTGGAACCAGAAAGTGGAAGATCCTATTGAATCCAATTCATGTGAAGATCTCATGGATAGTTTTTCTTTAGGATACACTTTGCGGCACGAACTTTTCCTCTTCAAAGTAGGGGCACAGATCAGGGGTCTGAGGAAACGAGACCGAGCACACCAGACCAAGCTTGTTCAGAGGACCTACAGTAATTAGACCGAACCTTCTTCGCCTGGGAGACAGGTTACCTCCGAATAAAAGCAGAACAAAGTCATTCAAACAGTCTCCAAACCCAGAGTGTTGGTCAAGCGGTCAAATCTCCACTGAAACAAGACACATCAAAACCAAAGCTCAAATTGAAAAACTCCACATGGATACCAAAGCTCGTCCAATTCACAGAATCCTCCCACATCTGTCCATTGTTGCGATCTGTTTTCAACAAATCATCTATTGTCTCTTGATTGTCTCTTGATGTCTTCTTGGTCTGTGTGGCTCGTCGTCCCCTCGTCCCCTCATGTCCCCTCCGTCCCCGCGGGACGTGGCGGCCACGCAGCTGGGTCTCCCGAGCCCATTGCCCCGAGGCCTCAGAGGCGGCCATGGCCAGGCTGCAAAGCTGCTGAGACCTCGGACGGTTTCATGGATGGAAACCGGAAGGATGGACACGGGTTCCTCTACTCTATTTTGGAAGGGATGTGTTTTTTTTTTTTAACATGGAAGTTCGGTTGATTTCATAGTTGATTCATAGTTCTTTTTGGTATTTTTTGGTTGTCCGGAGGTCTGGTAGGAAACCGAAAACACACACACACACACACACACACCTTTCGGATACATTTATGTGGGATTACTATGGGCCACCTACACATATGGGATTATATGGGCATTGGTTGGTACAAAAACGATTTGAGACCTCCATGACATGGAGCTGTTGGGGTTGAAGTCAACGTCCTCAGCCAGCCAGGACCATGCGACGTTTCCAGACCATGCAATCCCAGACCAAAAATGGGGACCCCCCTTGGTCAGCCCTAGACTCGACTCTGGGCCACCTCAAAAGAACAGAATTGAGGATCAGGGAGAGATCTTGTGCCGCATCATTTGCTGCTTGAAACTCCTGGTGAAATGAAGGAGCACAAGCACTCCAACAGTCTCACAGGCACGAAAAAAGCACCTCATGGCCCAACGCTGAAGGGTCTTATCATGTCTTCTCTCGTGACACAGAGCAAACCATGGTCATGTGGAGCACAACCAGGAGCACGGACGCACCTCTACAGCCTCTGATCTCTGCCATTTGTCACGGAAGACGCACCGCTGACGGAACGTGCGGCGGTCTCCGGCCACGGAACGTCTCCCCCGAGACATTGGAGCGACCTGCTGGCAGCTGGCAGGAACCGGCTGCCGCAGGGGGATTAGAGATCAAAGAGGTGTATTAAATAAAAGTTGGGAAGCAAGTGTTGGGTCGTTTTTTCATGTTGTTCAGAAGATCTTGGAACCACTTTTTGAGCTCAACACACAAACTTCGCAGAACTTTTTGGCGTGACACAAAACCTACGCTTGGCTGATGATCATGATGTGCACGGAAGGCCAAACGCAAAGATCAACCTTCAACTTGAAAGCCCACCTGTGTCCAGCAGATGCAGTGCCAACGTCCAAAGCGCTCCTTCCTGCCAACATGTCGCCATCAACAGCAAATTTCCACAACAATCTAAACAACCAGTGCTTCGGGTCTTCCAAAATCCTCACTCTCTTCAACACGTTTGAACTCAGCTCCTCTTCGGGTCATCCAGACTGCACATGATCTTGGCATGTCGAAAGCTCCTGGCAAGCACCCATCATCCCCACATACGCCGCCTCGTCAGGCCTGGCCGGCGTCCCATCCGGCGTCAATGGATCGCATCCGGTCGCCGTCCCGAAGACCCCAAAAACATCTTTCAGGTGGTGGGTGGCCATCCCTATCGAAGGACTCTTTTGGGTGATCATGGGTGATCATGCCGACATGCCGAAGAACCACAGCAAATTGTGCAATCCTCTGGACAGGAGTCCCTTCTTTCACAGAAGGAAATGTCCACAAACACAGCAAATTGGCCAACCTTGCAAACGGGTCCACATGATCTTGCTTCAGTATTTCTTTTGGTCAAGGACACAAATCCGGTGCCAAGCCCACCATCACTGCCAACATCAGTTGGAGTATGTTGGAGTTGTGGGCTGAAGTGACGGTTTGAAGGCAAGTTCAAGACTTGAACTTGGACCAAGATGAATGCTCAGAAACTTGATCGGGGTTGCGGTTCCACAGAAAATGTGTTCCACAGACGTGTATAGAATTGAATCCAATTTAACCCCTGCTTGATCGTGCCATAATGCTTTGTATTGAAGATACACCATCAGGACTACCATCAGTGCATCAGGGTCTTTCAGATTGTTGATTCATCAAGGTCTTTGAATGCTTTCCTGAGCTGTGGCCATGCCGTTCCATCTTGCACTGGAAACCGCTGCCCTTCTGCTCCCAACCTCATCATCGGCCTCTGCTGAAGCCTTGGAAGGCGCAAGAAGTGGAACATGCAAGGCGATGCCATTAGGAGATTACCTCTTCTCACCAAAGGGTACAGTACTTATCATATCTTATCATATTGCGGGTCCCTTAGAGAACCTTCCCCCATGCAAACCCTTCAGATTCTTTTGGAAACTGATCAGTGAACCCAGGGAGGTGGCAGTTGTTTTGAGACACTAATCCAAGCAAGTCGTTGACATCAAGAATTCTTTTTTTTGAAGAGTTCCTAATCCACCATCATTATGTTGACATCAACATCTGTATTGTTTGATTGGTTTGATGGGCTCAAGCTGGCACATTGGCCGGTCGACATGTCAATCTGGCACGTTGGCAAATCTCTCAATCAACTGAAAGAACATGAAAGAACCATAGTATTATCCACGGTGTATCCTAAAATTATATCATCAAATGGTCCTCTGCGCTCTGCACATATCATTTACATGCGAGTCTCGATAAAAACACAATAATCCAGCAAATTAACCCAGCTAACATTAATTCAAATGTGAGTTCCATAATGTTCCATACCAGGATTCATTTCTTAGGGCACGCCCTATCTTATCATTCGCGACCATATGACAGGGCAGCCTCGGCTTGTGTCGAGGTGCAAGGAGAGCGCCACTGTTTCATGCCCAGAGGCGGCCTCAGCTCTTGCATGCAAAAGTAAGACTTGCAGCTAGAGGCTACATTGCTTAGGCTGCTTCAGCCAAGATACCGGACAAATACAGTCTGTTTCCAACTAATCATAGTCAGACCAAACCGTCACCATGTCTGGATGAGATGTGCCTAAGAGGATGAACACGGCAAAAAATGGTGTACGGGAAAGCACAATGCAACTGAGCTGCTCTAAAAACCTGCATTAACTCCCTATGTCGTTCTGGTTTTCGTCTCCTGCTTGGGGCCTAGCCTGCTCCCATTATGGGCTACTAGTCACGTTGGAGGAGTGCGCTTACGCCATCCTTACGCAACTGCTTACGCGCGGCTTACACGCAAAATCCTTCTGTGCAAACAAAAGTGTCGCATCATGTGATCCAAGCTTGGTGACGTTCATTCCAAACAGGTTGGAGCATGTGGCCAACACATTACTTGATGTGCCAAAAGGCGGGCCAACCAGCCGGACAGGGATGGGTCTCCTTCCCCATCTTCCTGTCTGAGCTAAAACCAGCAACGTCAATATAACTTTAGTTAACTAAAGGTTCCTCAACACCTGAATGAGCATAGATGGTGTTCAGAACAACCTTGATAGTCCATCCTACTAAGTCCCAAACAAGGAAAAAACACATGTAACAGCTCCAATGTGGTTGCTTGTCTTTCTCTTTCTCAATCCTGGACTCAAAAAGAAAAGAATGGAGCTTACGCAAGTGCTTCAGCAACATCATATCCCGAATATGCTTACGCAACCTTACGAAACTCATGGATTTTGCTTACGTGGGGGCTTGATATGACAAGACTTTAACTAAACACATAAAGGATGGTTTTTAGAGTTGCTCAACTGGAGGAACACTTGGTCAACCCCCGAGATATTGGATGCTATGAGGCTACGATAGAAACAAGTATTCTGCGTACAGAAAACAATAGCCAGAAGAGGTCTATATAGCTGAGCTGGAAGATCCATAGGCGCATGGATGCCCGGCCCCAACGCTTCTTCCGTGTACCTCAACAACCCATGCAAAACATCGACCATTAAGCATCTGTTATGGGGGCTGGATTTCGGCGCCTCTTTTGGATGACTCTCCGGCTAAACGGGGCTGAAGAGGAGGCATCGCCAGTTATCTCTTGAATTCACACAAAACGGCACAGATTCCGGGCTATCCACCCTCCAAGAAGAGCGACCCAAGCCAGACAAATGGCAAGTAGGAAGCCTGTGGCCGTGATATGCCCGAAATCCACATTACTGTATAAACTGTATGAAACTCACGTAATCCCGTTCTTCTTCAAGACCGGCGAGGTCTGCCTATCTCCCAACCACAGCCCTCCCGACTTCTTCTCCGTTGGTCTGGGGATCTGACCATGGTACTGACGGCCAAGCTGGTGCCCACCATGCTGGGCCTGAGAGACTGAAACGCGCCCGGCTGGGCCTTTTTGGCCAAGTGAGAGCCAACTTCTTCAACCATTGACAATAACAAACAAACAACATGTCAAGAGACAGAATGACTATCCAGGTTTGTACATCGCCTCAGCAGGAAAAGCTGAGCAAGTATCGTCTGTTTCGGGGAAGCGTGCCCCTCAGCGTGTCCTCTTGGGTGCTTGAGGCTCAAAGGCGAGCAACAAGCAAATCAACGTGGCGGTCATGACTGCAAGTCTGCCCAAATCTCATGGGCGGCACCATGCTCTGCAGCAACAACTGCACTGCTTACTACTTCTGCGCGGCAATTTTCGGGGACCTCCTTCGTTGAAATCCGTCACCATTCAGCTATTGGCTATCAACACATTGACAGAATTTTTTCTTGCCCCTCTGCCATTGAAGCGCGGTTCTCCATCTACCGCTCCCAATTCTGAACGAAGTGACCGTCCTCACTGCCGCGGACCAACTTCAAAACTGCCAGGGACCGTAAACCACCCAGATTAGCCCTGCGCAGCTCTGATACTACAAGCTCTGACTCACCAAAAAAGTCTGTGATAGGTGGGTAGTACATGGTAGTACGGTACTAAATGATGCCAACAATATCATACAATATCCAACATCTATTAAATATTATATACCGGTCATCCGGGTCATCTACAGGTACTCGCCACGATGAGTCGACTGAAAAAACGTCGACGACTCAGCCGGACAGCTGGGAGCTCCGTGCTGAAGCTTTTGTTCATCCATCTTTTGGAGCAACCCCAGAGCAACCTTCGCAAGGACCCAGGACCCACAGGTGTTGATCCGTGCATCTTTCGGTGTCGGTTGCCAGAGTTGGAACAAACGCTTGAGTCCAAAACCTGTACAAAAACGGGTCATACTGCCACTGCCAACTACTTTTGCCTGTGTCTAATTATATAGTTTGTGTCGGCCCGGTTGGTACTTCTGTTGGTATAGTTGCAGTGTGTTATAGCTTGATGCATTTTGACATGGCAGGACTGTAGAACAGGACTTTGCAGAAACAAGCTACACCAGGTTGACCATATGTTCCAACATGTTCCAACAGGCCACCGGCCTGCCACTGAAAGGATCGGCTGCAGCTATCCATGACCTGGGCAGTGCGGACTGCTATTCGAGGTGCTGGTACAAAATAGTGGCCAGTTCAAACAAGCCTCATTTAAGGATATATGCATTAAGAACAGGGAGACCTGGAGGAAGGAAAAGAGACCCAAACTGATTGGCCCCGAGATGTGCCCAGAGGATCTCCTTAGTTGAATAAACGCCTCCAAATTGAGCCTTCCAAACACCAGCCATCCGTACGCTTCTCAAGTAGGGGTGCCCGAGGTCTGCGGGCTGCCTTCAATACGCCACCCGTCCACACGAGTTCGCCGCGCTGCACGACTCCCGCTTCGGGCAACCGAAGGGCTGCATTGCAAAGGTAGTCGTTCATGGCACAGGACCGCGTGTTGAGATCCTCGAACGAGATGACGGTCGGGCGGTGCGTCAAAGGTGCGTGATTCCCCAGTTTTGGGCAGGTCTCAAGAATGTACACGAGTGAGAGTTTGTTTTGTGAGGATTTAGGTCATCACGGAGTCAAGATCCCAAAAAACTCCTGTTTGACCACCCAGTTGTACCAAAAGGACTTGTTGGATCTTCTGTTGGGTTTCGGGAAGTGGCATAGTGGTATTCACCCACATCCAGTTGTGAGTTCGTGTCCAGACTTCACTGCCGGATATGTGGCAAGCCAGATCGGGACGGGAATTCCTCTGGCAACTCCCTGCTCCGTCTGACAGGGACCAGTCGAATGAACGGAGCAAAGCATGATACTCGTACTTGTAGTACGAGTAATAATCCATCCCATGGGAAAAAAGAAGCGCAGTGTTTCTGTCTATCTTTGCTGCTTTCCCCAGGATTTTTCACCGTGATTAGCAAGTCTCCTTCCTGACCAGAAAAAATGCGTGCGACATCTCGACAGCAGCCTCCAAAAGGCCCAAGACCATGGGCCATGCTTGGCTCTTTCCACATGCCTTCGCTGTGCGAGATTCTGAAGCGTCTCCAGAAATCTACTTCATCCCTTGCTGAGAGATGTGCAAAGAAACTTCTCCGTGGCTTGGCAAAACACCAACTAAGCAGCTGTCACAGCTCACTTAACCATCAGCAACGTTCAGTTTTGCGACGCCTGGATAGTGCACATCGCAGTTCAGCGTTCGTTCGTAAGCTAATGCTAAAAGAGACCGGTGCGTTGGATCAAGGGATCGGGGAACAAACATCGAGATGTGGCTCAAACAATGTGCGACTCAACGACTGGCAAGTCTTAGTATGTCTTAGTCATCTAATTTACTAATTTGCCATGAACTTTTTGAGGGATACCCTACTATGCTGTGGCCATTGAACATGCGGGCGGTACATGCCCGTTCTGCCAGAAAGGCCCATGGCCGGAGCGGTCAGGGCAGGGCAACCCAAAATCGCGAACGGACCGCGCCCGCAGCTATGGATGGTGAAGTGGAGATTACAACTAATTACAACCGCCCAAAGGTTCCCTGTACCAAAACCTCTGCAACCAGCCCTCTGAAAAGAGAAGGGGCATGATTTTTCCGGGCATGAAGCTTGTGCATGCGCGCTCCAGCACAATTACAGGGTACAAGGGATTTTCTGCTAGGTCTTGGCCGTGCCATTATTTCTGATCGGTTTTTCACCTGGCAAGAAAACGGGACCCTCTTTAGACTAGCAAGTTTGGGCGAAATCTACCTGAACGCCACGGATTACAAGCATGTCTTCACCAAATTGTCGCATATGAAACATTTTTTTGAAAACATCCAAACATCATAATTTTGACCAGTGTGTTTACAATAGTGCATGTATAAACTACGTAGTATACTGTATATCTATCACATTCTGTCACTATATAACCACTAATACACATATATATATATATCACATCATTCATTACTAGTAGCAAACATATTCTTTTTTCTATCTATTGCAAGGCCAACTGCATTATTTGATACGTCCCTGTGACTGGGATCCCCTCACTGTGACCGCCGAAGAGAAGGACACCACATCAGGTGAAAGGTCCACACGGGACCTGGGCTGCTCCGACTGACCCCACCGAGAGCTTCACTCTTGCATCCACCCCAAATCACCCTAACAATGAGACAACAGGAGTGATACAATTTGCCGTCTGTCTTATCAAAACCTGGTGTTTTCATGCCATGGAATTGGTGATGAGTTGCAGTTGATCACTCGAAACCTGTGGAAGAAACCGACACCCTTCGTGTTCAGGAAAGTGGGTGACAAGAAAGCCCTTCCTGCCCCAGAAAGCAACACATGCGAGCGAAAGAATGGTGGGATGCAAAAGAAGTGGACCAACTGGTGGTTGCCCAAATGGTGGACCATTTCCCTTCTTTAGTTTTGAAGGGATCCAAACTCTACGCTCTTGGCCGCAACTCGCGTCTTCGAACGATTCCGAGATCAAGGACTCTGACTTGAACGTGAGAAGCAAAACAACGACCTGACCCGCAATCCAAAGTACTGGAGCTTTGCCAAAACGAGTATTTTGGATGTGTTAATTTGTGTCAAGAGTCAAGCGTTTTGAAGGGTATGAATTATGAGATGATATATTTGTGTCTTTTCTTTTTGTGGCACAGCTTCTTGAGCAGTTCGCAGATTCTACCTAGCTGGGGATGACAAAAAACAACATGGTTGCAACGACCAGCGCCGGCCAGTCGACCAGTGGACCCAGACTGGGCTCTCCGAAGAGGAGCCCCCAACTTGGGCTCCGTGCATGTCTTCCAACAACCCCAAACTCCATGTCCATCGCTGGCTGCGGGCCTCGTTTCTTGGACCGGGCGTCGTCAGCCCGGTGACACAGAAGCCAAGCCACGGTGTGGTGGAGAGGTGTGAAGAATGCATAAGAAAGCAACACGATCCGTTGCCAAGTATCTTGAGCTGACCCGTATCGTCAAAAGTTAAAAGTCAATAACTTGGGCCGTTTGATTATATACATTTGGTCATTGGTCATTTAAGTAACTAAAAACACAACTATATATATATATCCATATATATATATATCCATATATATATATAAAGCTTAGAGACCAAACATCATCAGCCCGCCGGGCCGGCGATCCCAGCCGATTCCCCGCGTCGGGCCGAATGGACGTCGTTGCGTGGCACTGCACGTGATGGCCGTTGCGTCGAAGACGAGACACGCACGCGTTCAAGGCGGTGTTGTATGCGATCAGCAAGTGCCTGGCCGCACGGGGCCGGAAACTCGAAGAGTGTGAGACCCGAGACGGTCTGGTGATAGAGAGGTGACATTTGGTGTCAAAGAACCACAGCACGCTCGGAGAACATGGTTTCCAGTGACACACCTGGACCTAAAAGGGGGCGGGCTTAGATGGGTTTACCTATATATCGATCTATACCTCCTTTTACAGCCAAGCACTCCAAAGAGACCACTCTTTAAATTGTCCTGGTTTCTCCATGTGAATTCACCGGGTGACGTTGTACATTGCACTAGGGGGGACTCAAGTTTCCGGTCTACAACATCGCCTACGTCACCAGGAAGGTGACTTTTGGGGTACGAAATACAATGGAAACTGTGAGCGGCGCATCCTTGTGCAGACCTGGGGTCCCACTAGAAATTGACTTGCCCATCGTCTATTGCGCATTGCCTTTTCAGCTACATCATCGACTGTAATCAATCACAAACTGACTACAAAATGGCTACCCAAAATGGCTGGCCTGTCCAAAGAGTCAAGATACTGCAAAACTACAAAACAACTGCTCCAAAAAGATTTCACTACAGAATGCTCTTTTATTGCGGCCAGTTACGACCAGTTATTCTGGAAATTCCATCAGGGATGTCCTGATGGATTTTCGGTGGAACATGGTGGAACTGCTTGGCACATCGGACGGTGCCGGTGTTCAACCGCGTCTCCCAGTGCTGCGGAGCCAACGGAAACGACTCCCTGAGATCTGTTCGGGCAAGCTCAGAGTGAGCGCTTAGGTGTCCAAAACATTCCCCCAGCCATCCATTCACTCCAAAACTGAAAAAAGACACACACACACACACACACGAAAACACGCGTCATAAGCCATGATAAGCCATGAACATGGAGCAAACAAGGAGCGGCAAACAACACAAGAGGCTGTGGAAGTTCCAGTCACTGTCTTGCTGAGTCAGGAGATCCCACAGCTGTTGGCAGCACCTTTTGGTGGCAGGTGGCCATGGTGTCGGTGTCAGCGCCTGTTCTGTTTGTTGGCGGCTCCAAAGCTCTTGTGCGTTACGAACACTTTGCTGGCTTGCACCCCTTTTTAGCCACTCGAACTGATGGAGGAAGGACTTCGGCTTCCTTCAATACATCAGAATTTGTACAACATGCCTTTGCTGCAGCATTCTCCGCCACTGGCCTCTGCCACGTGTCTCCAACTTTCTTGGCCTCGAATCCCCATGAAGCAAACCCTTGGACAGTCGACGAAGGTCCAAGATTAGATTGGCATCATGGGCCTTCTTTGCTTCGCGCCTCCTGAAAAATACAGATTCATGTTCAGTCAGTGTCACTCAAATATGTTTGAAAGAAGTGGCATAATGTGTATTAATGTGTCATTCACGTGCGTTTTTGTGCAAGACAACTGAGCTTGGGGGTCTAAAAAAGCCATCCATTAAGCTTACGTCTTGCCGAAGGATTCGAAGGAGAAGCCACTGAGTTCATCATCGGCACTATCTCAATCTATCTCAATATGCTCTTGACAAAGAAATCTTTCGTCCATAGTATATAGTGCTCCTCGGCTGCCTGAAGCTATTGCTCTTTTGGTGAACGACTCCTTTCCCTTCCGCGTTCACGGTGCTATTGCGAACGGCCGACGATGAGGACGTGGATGACGGCACTGGCTCCAGCCGCTTGGAACGAGCCAACGTTCGCAAGCAGAACGAGTCCGAAACTCCGAGATCGCAAAGGCCTGCCGAGTAAGGGCCCAGACTGGCCGTTGGCCCACGGGAGAGGTCATATGTAATGTTGGACCCCCCAAAAACCACATCCATCTCTCCACGAGTTCCGAAGGTGATCCCGACCCATGCTCCGCCTTTGAGGAGTGTGTCGAGGAATCTTTGACCTCGCGGGGCCCCGGCGGAGCTTTTATTCCGCGCAGGTCCTTCCCTGGACCAACATGCGACAATGACAATGCAGAATTTAAAACATGTCATGCACGGCTTCCCTACAATACAAGCAAAGATCCCCAAAAAACTAAGTTGCAGGCAGCAGTTGCAAAGCCACGCCAGCTTGCTGTGCCTGCAGTCTGAAAACTGAGGTTTCCCAGATGGATCAGATTTGGATTACCCCAGGCCGTGCTTTCGGTGTATCCTTGACTTGCAGCCAGCCAGCCAATCCCGGAGTTGCAACCACAAAGTTGAAGCTCCGAACTTGGAGGAAATTAACTACTGTATCCAGAGAAGGAATCTTCAGTAATGCCGCTATCTTGCTGGCATATGTTTTTCCAAGATAGATCCTGCAATCGATCATGACTTGCTAGAGGAGCTGAGATCTGACTATGACTTGCTTCCTTGATCCGTCTTAACCGAACTTCCGTGTTGGTATACTGGGCCATTGCCGGGTCCAGGGTGGGGATCAGAATTCGACAATCTCTAAAGATGTGATGTTTATGTATGATCCCCACCAATATACTGTTTGGTCTATAGATGATTGAATATCTATATATATATATATGATATGAATCCCTGCATCACCAGTCAGAACACTGCCCAATCCGTGTGAAACGGACATCGCAGTGCCTTGCTGCACACGGACATTGCGGTGCTCAAAGTATCCGCGCGAGCGTGCAAACCTGCACTGAGCGGCCGAGCGGCCATCAGGGTCAACGTGCCTATCCATCTTCTCTGGTGCTCCACAGTATGGGGTCAGTCCAGGTTGAGGTCAATTTCAGTCTCAGTGGGCACTCAGGTAAATACAAAACATACACACGCTTCCCATTGTAAGCCTCAGCACTAGTTGGCTCTACTAAAGGGACATCGATCCCAAAATGGAAAGCAACAAAATTGACTGCTACAGCAATTTCTAGGAGAATGGCAACTCCCCCGACTCAGCAAAATGAAGTGAATGAGTCCCTGAAAACATGAATTCTCATCCAAGAAACGCCTACAAACGGGTGATTTTCCACCTGCTAGGCATATTGATGTACGGTTCTCACTTCTCCATGTGCCATCTACTTGCCCATGGATCCAACATGATCCAACCACCAAACCGGTTGTGTCTGAACCCTGCAAAGCCTCCAGTACGTCCTGAAGGTCATGTCCCATGTCTGGCTTCGAAAATCCCAAGCTTGGGTCCAGAAACCGCCTCACCGAGAAAAAGACACCCCAAAACGTATTATAATCATATTATAATATCTTTATAACTCACGTATAAGTTGTGTTTTTTTGTGAGCTTGATTTTTCAACTGAAGACTTCTGATTTCAGACCAAAGGCTGGCAGAAAGGCCGTTTTTCCCGCAGGTCCAAACTGTTTGGTCCTCCCCAACATGGAGACTCCGATCCAAATAGACCGACCTTGTCGTTGGAGATCCTCCAGCAGCGCCAAAGCCAGGTCCCAAGGCCTCAAAAAAGACATCACACTGGACACCACTGGATGGGCGTTGTGAACCTGGTGAGGGAGAAACAGAAATCAGAAATTGAAGAAGGTACCAGTCAAACAATCTTTAAACACCAATGCTTATTTTGATCGTTTTTGATCATGGTAACAACGACTCTACGACGTTTGTCCAACTTGTGTTCATGTGGGTGGGCTGAGCGGATCACCCACCTCTTCTAACGACGTCCAGCCCACTGGGACTCTTGGTAGACAGAACGAGACACGTACAGTGGTCCTTTTCGTCACCCGCTCAGGCTCATCCAGAGCTTCTGGTTTGGACTGCGACAGTTTGGTTCAACGACTTGGCTTCAATCTATATACCCCCCTTGGCGAGTAGACCAAACCGGTGGGATGCTGGCTCTTCTTCAGGTCGCCATTGGTCACAGCCACGCCAAATCGCAGGACATTTTCAATTTCAATACCCACCCGTTTTACATCACTGTTTCGAAATGCGCATATAGTTAGTCTTGGGGGTGATTCATGCCATGTCTATGTTGTTTATGAGAATTTATGAGAAGGTACTTCCATCGGCTTTCTCCCTGGCAGTAGCCCATATCATTCAACATTTCAGATTGCTAGGCCGCTTCTGGCAAATCAAATTCGGTTGCCCACCACCAATCATGCAGCTCACGTCAAATATCTGCAGCAAGAGTCAAGACTGCCGCTGTCCCTATCTCGATGTCTCTGGAACAGTCCCAAATCCTTCTCACAAAATTTAACAAAGGCTTCCATGGTACAATTCCAAAGACTCCATGAGAGGCTTCCATGAGACGCACGAGACTTCATGTCGAACATTTGGACAGCTCTTCTCGCATCTCTGACAACATGTTGGCATTAAATGTGACATGGAGAGACATCTGTTCAGCCATCTCCAAGCAATCATATTTGGATATCAGTACCAGTCCAACCTCCCCACCACTTGCTGAACTGACCGCCGAAGATGGCTTCAACTTCAACCCAAACCACCAATTTGACCGCACAACAACATCCATTCCAAGAGCTGCTGTTGACTGAGCTTCCCAACCCATGCTCGCAGGCCGCAATTGCCTCAAGGCACACCACTTTTTCCAGTGGCCACACGAACTAAATATCTAGAAACATGGATTTTGATGGATTCCACCGAATACATCAATGGGCCGTGCAGGTACATGGTCGGCTGAGGCACAAAAAGTGGCCCACAGGTGGACTGGGACTCGTCTTGAACTTCTGCCTCACCGAGTTCCGTCGGGCCCCCAACGGTGTTGTAGGAGATGATGCTGGGATAGAGGATGCTATGAAACATCTCCTGGCTCTTTCATTCTCTTTCCAAGCCACGAGCCGAATGATGTGACTGAAGCAAAAATGATTCCCCTTTCACGGGCATTGCTATGTATTGCTGCTGTTCTTGTATTCCAGCTAATATTGCCGATTAGGAAGACCTGAGTGTCGTCTTTCAGGTTCCAAAGGTGGTTCCAGTCGAACATCGACTCGACTCGCTTCGCCGATTCCAAGCTTCGCTTGTTTGGTGTCACCCAAGCTCAAACTTGCCTTCAAACATTCGTGCAGCTCGAGCAGAGTTATTTTGGCAACATGACGTTGTTTCAATTACATTGCGACTTTAGGTAATTAGATCACTGGGTTGAGTACAAGCTACATAAGGCCTAATGATTACCTAATGATCCCAATGCTGAATGTTTGCCAAGACGTGCGTTCGTCAACGGCAATGATAAGTCATGCTGGGTCATTTTCTTCCAACACCTTGCTGGTAGCCAGTCCAAGTCTTAAGCACTCCCTGAAGGGAGTTAATGGGGACCGACGTATTGAGATGAGCTAAACATGCCAGCTGGACATTGAACAACGTCAGGCACTTCTGCCAGTGCTGGCCCTGGCAGCTCGGAAAGTCAAGTAACTTAGCAGTTGGAACCTGGTGGACTGGTGAACGATTCCTTCGATAAAGCTGGATGATTTGTGGCACTGCACTGTACCCACAGTATTGGGGATCAATCTCCTTTATGTTCAGAAAAAGCATCTTCGCAGCCAAGAACATGACAAACAAGAACTAAGTAGTGCGATTTGAAGGATCAAAAGACTAAGGACAAAGGCTAAGGACCCCGACCTGTGTGTCTTTGAGTTTGCCAAGAGCACTCAAGAGCTCTATATACAGTACATCTAACTGCTGAGGAGAGTTGCTGGTTGACATCCTAGCGATTCTAGTGCCCTATGAAGTCAAGAAATGTCAAAAACAACTACAGTATTAATTATATATGTATATATGTCAGGACCTTTCCTTTGTCGCGCTGAGTCCCGAGACCTTCTAGTTCCTTGAGGAAGATCGGACATTTTATTGGAATACCCTGTTTTATCCTGCTTTAACATGTTACTGTTTACTTTCTTTGGCTTGTTTTACCTTTTTACTCATTCAACCAGGGGCGACTTGGTGCTTTGAGGCAAAGGCATACTGACGTTGTTGGAGCAAGTTCAATTGCGATGGCTCGGCGAATGCTGTTCGTTCGCATACCTCTCCACGTCCTGGGTTTTGCTGCGAAGTCGGAAGACACATTTCCGTACCACACAGAACCGGCTCCAAAACACATCCAACATACGTAGCATCCAACATTCTCTCCAAGTTCTCCCTGAGTCATCCCGGCTCCCGAGTTCTCCCTGACCCGAGCACAGGCATCCATGGTCGCGTTGTAGGTCACAACATCAGGCCTGCCGAGACCCGCATGCTCGGGTGGGGAGTTTTGCTCTCTTCGGAATGGGACTATTCACTGAACATGACATATCATCTGAACCGCAAGGGTTGTTTTTGGTGACCATCAACTAACAACCTAGGTCTGATGGATTCTGATGGTATAGGCTTCTCAGATTTGCACTACGCAACTCAGGTTCTATGTTCAATGGTTGTTCAATTTGCATGGTTTTCATTGATGACTAAGACAAGCATGAATGGGTGCAATTGCGAGATATATAAGTCTTGAGCAAGCATGTTCATTGTTCAAACATATGCCCTCCATGGGAACCAATATGAGCACAAACTGTCTGACATTCGAGGCACAACCAAGACCAGGCTTCATCCAGAGTGACAATCTATGGAATCTATGGATAGGATATATATAATTTATAGTACATCACATACCCTACAAGTACTCCAAACTAAGCTATGATGAATGGGAGCTCCCGTATGACACATGACGGAAAGAAAACACGGTGGCAAGAAACCAGGTTGCAAGTCATGCTAAATCCACACTTCTTGCAGCGGTATTGATGAACATCCCAGCAAAGAGTGGTATTCTAGGGCCTTTTCGTCAACAACGTGAAATCCCGTGTCCTTTTGCAATGAGGAAGGTTATTTGTAAGGACACCTCTATATATTTTGATCAAGCTCCCTTGGATCAAACTCCGTGACCTCTGACCTGACCAGTCTCATGCTACAAACTGCTCCCTTTCCCCATGGGCCGCCAATCCACTCACCCTCAGCGCTGTACCTCATCTCGTCTAGCAATGCCAGCGCCCACTGCCATTGCCTCAGCATCTTCTGAAGCTAGTAGTAACAAGTGCCTCGCTACTAGTAACAGGTGCCTTACTAGTAGTAACAAGAAGCTATTAGAAACAAGTGCCTTACTACTAGTAACAGGTGCCTTACTAGTAGTAACAAGAAGCTATTAGAAACAAGTGCTTTACTACTAGTAACAGGTGCCTTACTAGTAGTAACAAGAAGCTACTAGGAACAAGTGCATCGCTACTAGTAACAAGTGCCTTACTACTAGTATCAGATCTTCGGAGCGAACGTGGACACCGCCAGTCGTCCAGCGCTCCATGTGGCGTCGTCCAGGCTCCATGCCCTCCATGGTCCATGGATCCCTCTCGATGCGTCGTCTTGCGGCGTTGGGATCTTTCCTCTCAAAACCTACCTGCACCGTCGTAGCTACCAGCTGTAGAGAGCAAACGCCCCCAAAAAGCCTGAAGGGTCGGCTCTGCAAGGCATTTGATCATCTATCCGCTGTCAAGAAGTGTGTCAAGAAGAATGAGGTGGACTGATGTAAGCGTATCAATATATAATGCTTCACAACATGACATACAGGCACCCCCCACCCCTCAACTGACCTCGCACTTTTCTCGCCGAGGACATTCAGATTCAAAGGTGCTCTTAGAAGATTTGACAGTGGTCGCAAAACCAGACGTGACTGTTGGAAGATTCCTCGACACTCCAGTACCCAGAGCTGGCCTTTGATATGGCTGTTTTTGCATCAGCTTTCCGTAACTTTCGTCCCCCAGCTGCACGGGGGTGCTACTTGACTCCAGTCTCAGGCGATCTGATCATACTTGCTCCTTGTCCACCAACGCCAAGCTGCAAATGCTCGAAATCTGTTTCAGCATCAGCGTGAACTTTTCTGACCAATCTCTGACTTTTGAATGAAGAACCAATCAGCGATTCTTCGTTGATGATACAGACTTTGCGGAACCACAACGGCTGCAAGAGCAGGATTTACCCACATTCGCCTCTGTAGTGATATTGTCCATCAATCGACATCATCTAATTTCATATATACTTTGCCTGGGCACATGCCTGGCAGTGGCTGCATTCTATCCAGCTCAAAAAACTGCAGCTTTAGTAAGGCATAGGGCATGTTCTTGTTCACATAGGGCATGTGCTTTAAAAGAATAAGATCTGTATGAAAAACAATTGCACTGGATGGCTGCACTTCCTGCTTCTCTTGCTCATCATTAGCCTTTTCTTCTTGGTCAACAGCCGTAGCTCCCCGACCTTGCCCTATCTTGTCTCCTTCACAACGTTCTTTCTCCTGCTCTTCTGCATGATCCTCTTCTTGACGAATCGCATTGAATTGCCTCATGCTTGAGGTCACCAGCCTTGTCTCTGCAGTTGATCAGCTTCATCCTCCTCGCCAAAGCAATCTGAGCGGATCACTCAAGCTACCTTGAAAGGCACATGCACAAGAAATTGTAGCGAGGGTCCTGGGACAGGGCAAGGAATCCAGCAAAGGGTTGAAAAGAATGCACACAGGTCCTCATTGTAGTGGAACAAACTTCCATGACCTTTGGGTTTCTGGCAGTTGAAACTTCCACGTGGAACGTTCCACATACTTCAAGACACCAGGAAGCACGAGTTAACAAGGGCATTACTACTAGTAACATCTAGTAACAGGAAGCTGGTCAAATCTTTCTTCCTCGACCCAAATGGGGTTGCTCACTATAGCTCACTGCCACTCTCTCCTGGCAGTTGGCAGCGCTCAACTCTCATCTCAGGAGTTCAGCGCCGTTCCTGCCTGGGCCAAAGCCCCAAGGCTGCCGGGCACAGCTGCTAGATTCCTGGGCTCCAAAACAGGGAGTATTGAACAGGTCCAGCACTCTGTTATATACCCCTCCCGCCCTGTTTCAGGGAGATGACGGCCATCAAGCGATACAGTACCTTCTGTCTTGTCTTGAGCAGTCCATCCACAAATAGTGTCTGAACTATGCAACATGTCAAGAGTGGCTCCTTAAGCCAGTGTCCCTTGTCAAACTTCCCTCGCGGAAGAAGCGGAGCACCAGCAAACCGGACCAGCCATTTCAGCCATTTCAGCAAACCGACCGGACCGAAGGTCCACAAGGACTCATACGGCTTTAAAACCAAGAATTGCTTCAAAAAACGGACCAAACACCCGTTTCTTGTCACACCACACCACAAAAACCACCCTCCCTCCAGCCTCCACTTCCTGGAACCAGCATCAAGTTCGGACACCTGGCCCCATTCCCGCGTGAAACTCGCCCCTTGCGCCGCAGGCTCCCGTCGCGCTCACAGGCGCCCAGCACGGCCGAGTGGATCACTGCATTGGGCTCCAGGTCCTCCGAACAGGTCGTGGAGGCCAAGTGGCTCCCCAGAATTGACATGGTGACGAGCTTCGCCCACATGCTTTGTTTTTGCTTCTCAAACGTGCAGGGTCAAACATGGTCAAACATATGTTTAAGAATGTTTAAGACTTAAGAGTGTCCCAGGTTAGACATTGATGAGACTCAATAGGTGGTAGGTGGTATAATATGGGCTCAAGCTGGTTGTTTGAATCACTTCATGGGCTTTTCCGGGCTTGAAAACGCCAGAGCGCACTGTTGTATCATGTCCCAGTCATACAATGTCGTACAGGACTGTCTCGTCTTCCCCTGGACCAACAACGAAGAAACAAAGAAAGGCTTGGCTCCTCCGCCACAGCTCTAACCCGACCCAATGAACCAGAGGCCAGCGGCAAGCTTATCCACGAATATACTTACCCCACGTGACTGTGGCAATCCATCCTTTTTGAACACCTGCCCGGTCTTGAGGCCTTCTCACCCGCACGCAACTTCTGGTCCAACAAAAAAAGAACACCGACTCCGTCGTCGCCTGCTGCTTCATCCGCTCCAGCAGCTTCAGTGCCAAAGCACTCGGGAAGCGCGCGCCCAGCAGTGCGCCATAGGTGACTTGGTCCACTGCGTCCGCCTCGTGGTTTGGTGCCGTGAACTCCGGTGGACGCCCGGTGGTCTCTGCAATTGCTTTGGCCAATGAAGCCCCAAATGATGTAAGAAGACCAGGACAAACCAGGGGAACATGTAAGAAGAACTGTCTCAGAACATCATGGAAATGCATCCGTTCTTGGGGTGTTCAATCCAAATACAACACTTCAACATTGATTGACGCTGTTGACTGACCGGTCCAACTGCTCTCTGTCTCACCCTTGCCCCGAGCGCGCATTCTTCGGGAGGTGGGAGGTGGTGGATAGATCTGGTGCTGGTGGACCCGAAAGAGCCAAAACAGGTCACAACCATTCTAATCTTCAAACATCATTCTATTGATTCAAGAAGGAAACGGGATTCTTCTCCCTTTCGGACCAACGCGGTGTGGGTGTCCCACCAGCGTCGAGAGTGGTGGACTTGGCAAATGAGGTTTCTTCAAGTCGTAGCACTTCATTGGACTCTAATCTGGACATGTAACAAGAAGCTACTAGGAACAAGTGCATCGCTACTAGTAACAAGTGCCTTACTAGTAGTAACAAGAAGCTACTAGGAACAAGTGCATCGCTACTAGTAACAAGTGCCTTAGTAGTAGTAACAAGAAGCTATTAGAGATTCAGTTTTCTACCTGCTTCAAAGAACTCGAAGAACCGACATTGAGACGGGACTCAAACAGGGGGCAAGTCGTTTCAGGTGAAGGGAACTATTAAATATCAACTTAATTTAGACTGTTAATGAATAATGAAGAACCTTTCTCCCAATATGAGGATGTAAAATGATGCTAAAACCGTAAACCCGCTAAAACCATTCAGGTGGTTTCTTGTTAATCAACAGATCTACATTAAGACTCCAGAAACCGCTTTCAACATCCGACGTCCGAGGCACTGAGTGCAAGACCCTGCTACAGGACTCCAGTAGCCAGCAAAGCGCTTGCCCCCACCTGGTGGAGGATTCATGCTGGATTTCAATGGATTTTATGAACTCATCAAGAGCCCAGCCTCTGTCCGGCACCCAGTGCGGCCAGCCCCAGGTTCAGGGTGACCAAGTCCTTTCGTAGCGTGGCCGCCTGCAACAAGAGCAAATGGCCCAAGGAGCTGCGCCAAGCCTTGGTGTTCCGAGGATCTCACGCAGCCACGCAGCGGAGATCTGCGGAGAAGCGAAGCGATCTCAAAGAGATTCAAAGAGAAAACGGTCCACATGTGAAAACAGTCCACAGCCGTTTTACACAGCTACACTCATGGGGTCCTGTGCACAGCCGGTGCTGTGGATTCTTGACACATCTGGTCCCATTCTTCGAGGTCGGCTAGTGGTGATGACCATCTGCTGCGGGACCTTTTTGGGAGCAAAAAGCTCGTCATGACTCGTCCTACAAGGAGCAAAAAGCACATGGCTGGGATCAGCTCGCCGATGCCGAGATGTCTTCTTGTTCCCTTTTGCTTGTTGGGCCATGCTCAGGAACAAGTCTAGGCCACTTGCACGCCCTGCGTCAAGCCTACGACAGTTCAGGTAGAATCACACACACAGACCAAAGCAAGATATGCCATGGTAAGCACATACCCCACTCCTCCAACCCCCAAGTTGTTACAGTATATTGGTGTATCAACCAGGTTGGAGGGGTTGGAGAATCGATGCAACCAGGTTATACCAGTGTACATTGATCCACTCGATGCAACGAGGTTGGCGCAAAGGCACTTCCTTCAACACGCCGTCCGAGTCCTCGCCAACTCTTTCCTGCCCGGCTTGGCCGAATGGTGGTTGATCATAGCAGTTAGTTGGTTGGTGGGGCATGGTTTCATCTGGTTTCGTGTGGTTTCATCATGTTTCATCAATAGTTGTCTTCTCTTTGTAGAGATCATCTAAATCGGTTGGTGGATGTTGGTGGTGTCTTGCTTATCCAGCTGCCCTCATGTGAATGGATTCCAATGAAGGCTACCAACATAATAATGAATGAGAAGCCACAGTGGCAAGGCAAACCGAATCTACATCTAGAACAATATGACAAGGACAAGTCCCAATCAAACCAACATTGAAGGGGGAATCTCCGAGTACCTACGGTCTCCAAATGCTTGACCGAAAAAATAATGTCTAAAGAAAGCAGTTCGGCGTTGGGTGCTACCAGGTACAAGTAGGGCTTAGCACCCACCAGGCTTGGCCACCTTGGTGGAATGCAGGGCAGCAGTCATCCTCGCATGGAAGGTGGTCACCTGAGCGCATCTCCCGAAGAGCCGTGGAAGTCCATGGCCTTCCACCGTGGAATCCATGGCATGATTTCCGACCAGTTGGGCCTCCCATGCCCAAACAGTGCACTCACTCACAAAGCACTGATTCTCATAAATATGGGATGATCTACTCCATCCCTGACCAAAGATCTTATGAGGAAGCTTGTCCAATGCCAAAAGGGCATTGGCCACAGAAGGCAAACAAGATGGAGAGTCCACAATTTGCATGGACCTCGCTCTTGCAGTTTCAGGGTGCTTTCCAAAGTCCCTTAACATGTGATCGTAAGACACTGCAAGAATAACCTATATAAACAATTCTAGTACCATGTCGCAAAGGCAACCTCCAAAGACGCTGAATGCATCAACTCGTTTGGATTACCCCTCTGCTCCCTCTGCCACATGGCGCCAAGCAACATCTGCATCGGCCTGGTGCGATCTTGAAGAAACAGTCAGGATAGCCAAATTATCGATATGAACCAAAGGTGTTTCTTTCTGCCGTGTAACACACCTGTCCTCATGAAGAAGTTATATATACAGAAGTATGACATCGCTGCGGACACGGCATAGGCATGGTACATCAAACATCAAACAGCTTGGTCAATGCATCATTTGGGTGTTGCCAGAATGGGCATGTCCATGCATGTCCTAAACATTGGTTGTAGTCTCTTTCTTTCAACAAACGGATTTCATGGGTCTCCTCATTTCAACTCGATTCAAGTCATCTGAAATGGCATGCCGACGAAAAGGCTGCAAAGGTGATAGCTATAAAATGGGTAGCTACGTACTTGGGGGCCTCAAGCCAGAATGGCGATCGGTATCCATCTGGCTTATATTTCACTTACGCCTCCTACCTCACCAGCATGCCTGCTAACCTCGCATCTTCCTGCCCCTCCGTCGCCTGGTGCAAGGCCAGCAAGGCCTGTCGCCACTGGCCGCATCTTTGGCACGCGCCGGCGACGGTCAAGGAGCCTGGGCCGGTGCACAGGGTCTGGAGATTCAGCTCGGTGAGTGACATGCTTACAAGCTGGTTGTAGACTGTACCTAGTTAAACAATAGTATCAGTATATAATTGTGTGTTTTTATGTGTAGGATATTGTAGGATTATCTACAGTATAATATGAGTCCTGTGGCGCTCTAGGGTGTCCAACATGTCTTTCCCACCGAGACATTTGGAGCGACGCCCAAACCAACGACAACACCGTGCCTGGAAGGCCTGAATGGATCCGGCTCTCCGACAGTCGTCGCCAGGGGGTGCACCCAGACAGTTGGATGTTGAAGTACGTTGAGAGACCTTGCGGAAGCTGATTATCTTTGGGGGCAAATTCATATTAATTCCGTGGAGTGCCTGGTTTTCACACCTTGTCGAATTTTTAGTGCTCCCATATTGTGATGCAACAGTGCCTTTAGAAGTCGGTCAGAAGGGGGCACAGGAAACGGAAAGAGTGCTGACACATTTCTCTCGCTTTTCATGGGTTCCTTGTTTGTTTAAGAAATATGACGGACTGAATGCAGCTCGAGTGAATAAACTCCTGACAATTTGAGGTTGAACCAAGTATTGATGGAAAGACCTTTCTGGCGAAAGGCCATCGGCCATAAAAGAATCCATCCATTTCCTTGAACAAATTGGGGAGGTTTTTCTGGGGCATCTCATGGCATCCCCTGTCTGGTTCGTCACGAGATGATAGGGTACTGTTGCAACATAGGCCACACTCATGCAATCACCATCAAACACCAGTGAAGCTTCTTTGTGAACACTGTACCAGCTGGGACTTGTCCTTGACATCCTTAGCGACCTGCCAAATGGACCAGTAACTCACCAGTGTAGGCGAACTCCGTCTGTGCTGCATGGCCTGCGGCTGCTCCGAGTTGGACCTCTTGGTTTCTTTCCCCCCCAAGGCCCTGGTGTCGGAGGTCGCGGATGGAGCGCCGGTGTGCCTTCACTTCCGCCCAATGACCAGCCTCCCGCCTCTCCACGTCCCAAACCACGTGTCTCCCAGCCTCCAAAAGGAGAAGGGCGAAGTCCCATTGTCCACCCAGTGGGCCACAACTCTCCATCGCTGAGTTGAAAGATACCACGTCCGGTGTCACGGCCTGCGAAGCGAGTCGAGTCCGACGAGTGACGACGTGTGACGACAATTTGAACGCCGTGACGGTGGCGTGTCACTGGGGCAGCATGACAGGATTCCAAAGAATTGGCAAGCCTTCCGGAGATTTTGGGGGAATCAACACACTTGGTTGTGTGAGTGTCTCGAACTCAGGGACTCTTCCTTTTCAACTCCCACAATTGGATCATATTGGATCTCTTGGCCTCCACAGTCAGTACATCGCTGTTTGTATCTGTTTGCTATAACTATTGTTATAGAAGTATACCAGCATATACCAGTATACTGTACATACATATACTATATATATATATATGTATTTAGATACCATCCTTTTTCCGGCTATGCATGAAGCATCCTGAAACACTTCTGGGACACGTCCAAGCCATCCTTCAGATCTTCCAAGCCAAGCCTCAAGGAGCTGCAAGGACCAAGACCAAGCCTCGCACGGACCGATGGACGATCCGATCGCGGAAGGATCGAAGAGCCGCATGGTCGGTCCTGGTCGGTCCCGGTCCTGGTCGCGACTTAGTACGACATTCGCCCGCATGAAACATGGATTTCAAGGAACATGTCCAGTCTCTTGCTTTGGGGGAACTGCTCATGGAAAGCAAACCGTTAAACTCGGTCTTCTCTATCAGACTCTATCACAAAAACACATGGACACAACATAGAGTCTCATAGAGTAACACCTAAGCCCACTTCCAAGGCTTGTGCCAAAATCCTTCCACTCGCAGGCTCAGGGCGTTGGTCACGCCTCGCCTTTTTCATGGCAACCAACGCGCAATTGCGTGCCACCGGGCCTGACCTGATTGGCCGCGACGGGCCCGGTTTCGATGGCTTGACGCACCGACAAAACCATCCGTTCGTTGTCTCAACTCGAGATCGTGAGAGTGGGGTTGAGGGATGTGGTGTGCCAGTTCGTGCAATCTCACGAGGGTTGTCGCAGCTTCACTTGCTGAAGAAGCATCCCGTGCACAAATCATGTTTAACCCATTTTAACCCATTCTGGTTGGATGTGAATTCAAACCCCAAACTGCAATGAATCAATTGTGCATTGTAGGTGGACAGGATTGCCAAGTCCAATAGCTCAGTCACAGTGCCAAGCGTCTTTTGCTACTTTGTTGCACGCATTCCAAACCGGCACTGAGCTGCCAAACATCCTGAAGGCGGTCACCCTGGCAAGCAAACGTCACCACTACCTACCAACATCTTCCAGCCACGCCCAGCCCCGATGTCATTGTCTCAACAGCGACCGTGCCGCTCAAGGCTCATGAAAACCAGTCCAGAGGCCAACCGCCATCACCGCCAAAGGCCAACCACCCGAATGGCCAAGCGTCATCCTCTTCGTCACCATCTCCTCGTGCCGTGGAAACCGCGCCAAGGCCATGTTCCAGGCACTGCGAGACGCATCACCCATCCTCGCTGGGACCGTCAGTGCGGTGTGTGGAAGGTGTGTGGTTTGTGTGGTTCTCGTGCTGGATTTTGGGAGTGTGGGGGTTCGTGGACTGAAGATGTGATTCAAGCCTGCACTCAGTCTCAGCCTCAGTCAGCTAGTTTTGCAACAGTTTCGCCACAGTAAGAGTCCAAATAAACATATCATATCATATCATATAACATATTGGCTCCTAGGGTTAACTGTACAGCCCTTCCACATAAATTCGCTCGGTGGACATTTACCACAACAGTCCACTCCTTTCACTGCATCACTTCCACCTCTGTTGTCCCAAGGCCTCAACAAATAAAGAGGCCTAAGCAAACACTAAGCAGTGTGCGTGAACGCAGTGCAGGTAACGATTGGACTGGCAAAATGTGGATCCGGACGACTGGTGGATCAATTGTCTGGGCGAAATCAACCAGAATCGCGTACTGGATGTTCAGGTTCGGGTGTTGATACACACTTCAACTCTGCCTATGAAATTGATTGAACAAACATGAACAAAAAGGAAGGATGTTCAACTCAAAGCCCTGGATTCCTGGAATGGTGGAGTCTTTGTTTTGTCCGATGCCCTCGTCTCCACAGCAGCTCAGCGTCAAGAGCGTGGCGATGTGGACCATGTTGGGCTGGCCAAGCTGTAGGAAGTCCAAAAGCCTTGCGGCAGAAGTCGATCTTGGTTCGACACATTCCCCCTGCACCGAAACAACGAACTCGTGTATTCTAGGTATGAAGAAAACACTCACGAAATAGCACCACAAATTTCAGGCGAGTTGTTGGTTTGTGAAGCATCACCAGCCTATCACCAGCATCAAGATGCATCCAGCCTATATGGCCTACTGCGGTTGGTTTGTCTAACAAGTTCTGCACGTCTTGCCCCTCAAAACCTATGTACAGCAACAGTGGGATGATTGAGCAGTTCGTGGGCGTATAAGAAAAAACATGTACCAACCCAACTTTCTGGATAGAGTATGATAGAGTGGTGTAGTTCAAAAATGGATGGCAAGTAGCTACTTTGCGTGAACTTACACGGTCAGGAGTCCCGCCTGGAAGCCCTACGCCAGTGGTCTTCCAAGGCGGTCAAAGCAGAAGTGCCAAGCATCGCGTTGCCTTCCAAGCCTCGGGAGCGGTTCAGGTCGCCCCGCGTCGGCGGGCGGCTTCCCGCGGCGGGTGAAGCGGGTGAAAACACCGAGGGGACTGGAAGATGGACGACTTTCCAAGTGTGGCCTCCAAGTCCGGGGTCAACAAAATACTACATGTCACAGAAACCATGAGACACCTAGACCAAGCAAACACATGCGAAGACAGAATCTCCAAGCAGCTCGAACGCGCTGATTCCTTTACTTTTCGTCGACGGATGGACGCTGATTCCTTTACTCGCACGTTCGGGTGTTCGATCTACCGCGTCACCTCGGTGACCCGAACTTCCCAAAAGAACCGAGGTATCGCGGATTAATTAAACAAATACACACATTATCCATAGCATGTCATGTTGATCTATAAAGAACACCTTACACATCGTATACACCCCTTTACATCAACCAAAAGTCTCCACGGCTCGCCGGTCTATTGTGCCTACCATGTTTTTTTTTTTTCATTTCTCGGACTCGCGGCCTGCGCTGCGCAAGCGCTGTGCCGTTGAAAGCGCCTGACTCGCATGGCGGAGCCGTTGACAGCGACACGGAGCACGACACGGAGATCTGATCTCTGCGGTTGGATGTCCCTGGACTCAGGAGTATACTCTCTACCCAGCTTTGAAACTTGAAAAGTTAACCTCGAATTCAGTGAAGGGGTACAACTGTGTGATTGATAAGGTTTCGTGACTTGGTGGCAATGAAGATTAGGGCTTTACTTCGTTTCTCACCTGGACAAAAAAGATCAAGAGCTGATCTCGGCGACGAAGGTCGTGGGAAGGCTCAAGCTTCTGAAAGGGTCTACATGACGGGTCAAGGCAAGGACACTCGCCAACAGGGGAAACCTGCATACATCTGCATACTATAGAAATCTTGGGATAAGCTTGATGCTTCGTTTCTTGACCAATATTTCTTCCTTCAAGGAGTTGATCTGTTTCCATTGTCATAGCTGGGGCTACCAGTCAAATAGCGATGATTTCCCTCTCACCGCCTCTGCCCAGAGCTTGCCGCGTGCACAAGCGCTCAGCAAGCAAGCACCCGCCACCAGGTCCATGTCCTCGGCACGTGGACGTGGCAACGGAATGGCTTGAAGCAATGGTTTGAGTTTGAAGCAACGGCTTTCTGATGCCATGCCACGCAGGCCACACCTTGTCAACCATTCGGGTGTTGTCAAGACTACGTCAAAACACATCCGAAAACCCAAGCATTCATAGTTTTAAGATGTTTTAAGATGATTTAAGACTGTGTGAGATTTCAACCCTCAAACACCTGAATTAACCAGAATCAACTGCCCAACGAACCATCTGGGCCCACTCCAAAGGTCTTGACCCTATCACAGAAGCACCAATTGGAAGTTGGAAGGAATCACCAATTCAATTTGATCAAGACTTGGAGACGCAAAAGTACCGAAAATAGCGGTAACGGAATCAACTGAGCAAAAATATTCGACTCCTTCTTGGACCAAAATCGCATGTCTGGAGACTGTTGACTTCCGGTGCTTCGTGTCATGCGCATAGCCACTGGGAGTCCATGCTTCTTATCTTGGGATAGGAAAATGATTACCTATGTTGCGTGGTTGGCTCATGCAATGCTATGTGTATGTGTGTGTGATTGTGTGTGTGTGTCATGTTCTCACTGTTAGGGCAGTGAAGGAATATGATGCTGGGCCAAGTTCAAAATGCACCCCCATGTAAATCCCAACCTTCCTGGCGATGCTCAACATTTGTATTGGCTTAGTCTTGCACTCTCTGATCCCTGTCCACCCTAGTCGATCCCTGCTCGCCTGTTCTGTATCAAAGCGCAAGGACCTGAATCACTTGGAGTCTGCGATGTCGAAAGATCTTGGTGAGATTGGGCGACAATCAATATAATCAATGAAGCCCCGATTCCGATCTGATTGAAACGCATTCCTTCGTGCAGAGCCTGGGTACTTTCGGTTCTTGACTGGATTGCAGTGACATTCAACCTTCGGTTCCAGATGCCTGAAGCACTGGGATGATGGACATCCAACATCCGGGATGATACCCTGCGCACTCAGTACACCATGGCAAAAATCTGCAAATGGAGGCCGCAGAAAAGCTTGATGATGCATCTTGTTGGGCAGGCAAAATATCTATAGCTGCAAAGCTTGTCCAGCAGAAGCATGCATAACCACCAAATGATACCCTGCGAAGGAAGTCGGTAAGGTACAGGAGCGTCGAAGAACCGTTAATTTGTTTCCGCAGGGTGCTTCTTGCAGGAGAATGCTTAAGGCCCAGGTCATCGGGTCTGACTCAAACTTGCGTCAGATTAGGAGTTAGAGTTAGGACCCCCAAACATCACGTTCGACTTAGGACTCAGGACCCACCAAACATCCCAAGACTGAAACGTTCCAAACTTCCTTGAAGTCTTGATCCTGTTCAGAACCGATAGAACTCGCCCGCAACTTCTCCCAGTGCAAACAGCAACACGATCCGAGCAGGCCTCTGCCACTGGTCCTGCCGCTCCAAAAGCGTACACAAGGCATTCTGCAAGACCAAATCCGCCTGCTGAGCGGACATGTTCCGCGTGGATATCACTGATGACTTTTAAGATCATTTAACGGGCTTACGATGGTTAAGAGGGCTTCTTTTGACGGAGTACAAACACACAAAAGAAACACGATATCACACACACACACACGGAGTACAAACACACAAAAGAAACACGATATCACACACACACACACACACGCACACCACACCTTGAAATACACATGGACGTGCACATCCTTGTCGTTCGGCTGAGTCTTTGACCCCAAACAAGACCACATGGTCCTCACCCCAAAAGTGAGCCCGTTTTGCCCCACGCGCTCTCCTAATGCAGCGTAGCCCATGACTTAGGCTGTTGAGGGTGTCCAATGCATGTGAAGGAATACAAATCTCTGATCTCACTCCGCAGGGTGTTGGGTTCCCATGCAGTGTCTGCAAACCACTTTCTTCCTTGACCCAAAAGCTGCTCGTCTTTCCCACCTGTTGCAACGAGCCAAGGTGAACCTCCAATCTAGAACAAGATGATGGGCCCGATTCGGGCCTCTGCGTAACGAACGGGTATCGGTTCTGGTGAAAGAACTTAACGGCCATGGGGTCACACCGTCATACATGGGCAGAGCGTTTTACTGAAGATCACCATAATGTAACAAACCTTGCACGACCCCAAAGAGCGACTTCTGCCATGCTTTTTCAGTCTGCGTCGCATGTGACTTTGTCGTAGACCGTTTCCTTCAGAGACATTTGGAATCACAAGCTGCTCCGTGTTTTTGTTCTTTTCCCTTTGGCATGAGCGTTCCTGTCCTTTGTATCTCTTCTTGGACATTGTTATGAAGTGATGCATACAGGACGATCATCCTTTTTCGGACGATCGCAACAGCCAAGACGAACCCCGGACCCCCTACTCCCGCACCGTTCCATCCACCGTGGCCGCAGTGAAGAGGGCGAGCCCCAAGCGCCAGTCCACGGCCTGAGAGGTGGGACGAGCCCCAACCAGAAAGAGCCCAAGCGTCTGATCGCTCCTAGTAGTACGGCCAGGAGCCCCTAGTAGCGTCCGATCGCTCCTAGTAGCGATGCCCTTTGCTCCTAGTAGCTTCTGGATCCTGGATTTGAGGTGCATTTGGAATTTCTCAGAAATCGGCCGTGCGGATCCTGGATTTCAGGCTTGAGACCCACACGGATCGGAGTCACCCAAGTTTGTAGATATTGACGGGATCTGAGTCACCCATGACTCAATCCAATCTGTGTCCAACGATGGTCGCTGTGTTTTGTATTGGATTTTAAACTCATTGGATTCTGCAAGCAATAATAGGGTTGTATTCTGCAATTCAATAAAATGGTTGTTTGTATTCCCCAACTTATTTTATTGGATTGCTCAGATTCCTTCCTCGGCTCGGCGTGGAGGAAGAACACGCAATGAGAATCACGATTCTCATTGAGCATCCTTGGGTGTGGTCCAACATCTGTAGCCCTAAACAGGCGGTTGCAAGGGAGACGATCTCAAAAACACATGTCCTTTCATTAATTTATTCATGGTTATATAGTTGGAGATTGCATTATGACAAAATACTTATATAACCGCAGATTGACATCCCAAGGAATCAATCAGATTTATCTCAAATTGGGGGCCATTCAAGCAATATCACAAACTCTTGGCTTCCTGTGATTGGAGCTTAGATTCAGGTTGGCTACCAAACGCGGACCTCAATAGACCGAATTGGCCCGGCCCTTGGCATTGGCAACAAAGTTTTCAGATTGCCTGCCACCCGCAGGCTTCCCCTTCAAAATCTTCATGATTACACTCTTTGCTCTTTGGATTTCATTTGGATACACAAGTTTGCAGGGAAAACCTCCTGCCAACGAGGAAAATGACCACCATCGTGACAAACCCCAGAATTGGGTGAGTGCCAGTGGAGGGAGCAGGAAGACTATTTGTTATATTTAAATAGGGCTATTGGCTATTGGTATGCTCAGCTTCCGTGAGCATTTAAAAGGGAGTCTATGTTTATGTCAATGTTATAACCAAATCCTTTTGGGGGTCTCCAAGTCACTTTGGGTAAGATGAGCGATGAATGAAACTGAAGAGATGGATGAGTCTTCAACATACCCAAACACAGTGTGTCTCCTTGATCCCAATGAGCAGCTTGTCCCAACGTGGCGGAGATCCCCAGGCTGTCGACTTGTAGCGCCCTTCGCCGCCACGTGGCCTTAACAACGTAGAACCAGCAAACACAAGGACTTTGTAGACAGTGAAAGAATGAGGCCTAAGGGTGTGTTTAAAAAATATATAACTGTATATAAATATGTATATAACTATATTAATATTAATATATAACATATATATATATACAGTAACAGTTTTCCCTGAGTAACTTGAGTAACCCTTGCCAGTTGAAATTAAACCCCTGCAATTTTTACGATCACCAAACAGTCTGCTCCATTGCGTAAGAGGGGCGATAGCGCAGGGATCTATCAGATTGAAGTTCGAAGCAACGGTTCCAGAAAAGTAAGGCGCCAATGAGGTCAATATCGGTGTGTATCCTAATAGGGAGACCTTGGCCCAATGGGTAGACTGGTCTATTTCCCGTCTTCCAGGGGGGCCGAACTGGGAGGTCTACTATTTCAATACACCCATATGAGTCATATGAGCTATTGTGGAACACTCATCATCTTTCATGTTCATTGATTGTCTTACCAATCATTGTCTTACATCACCCACACAGCCTTAGGGGCTCCACCCGTCAGATTCGACGATTGTCCCTTGGTCGAGCGGCCAAGACTCTCAAGGAGGCCAACCAGGTCACTCCACCAGCATTGGCCAATGTGTTGCTGGTGATCCTTGGAAGAAGTGACGTGTGTAAGGCACCAAAAGTGCTGCCTTAATGGATTTGGGGGCATAATGAGAAGCATTGATTTTGAGCTATGCAAGGGAGATACACATGCACAAACGCATGTGAAACATGTGAACGATGTCATATGCAACACATACTTAAAAAAAGAAAACAGTGCACCTGGCAACCAGGTGGTCACTCTAAACTGCTCGTTCCGAGCGGAGGAGCTAGCTTCCGATCCCAAAGGCGCACCCATGTCTGTCGTTTTGCGCTCACCCAAATGGGTGGTCGCAATAGCTCGTGTCTGTCCGCGGGAAGCAAAGGGCATCGCTACTCGGAGCAAGTACAACTGCCGCCAAGGCTCAAGTCTCCTTGCAAACCTGTGCGGACTGCCGTGCGGACTGCCGTGCGGCTAGCGCCGTACAGGCCAACACAGTGTGGCACTATAAAAACGTTGTGCGGCTATCAGTGGAGCTATGAAGTCAAGTTACATTGCTATCATTGCCAACATACCGGGGAAGTTCAGTTCTTGGGCTGAGAAACTCATGACCCAGCGCCTGTGTGGGCACCAAACCGATTGGAACCTGGGACTGCTGGGGACTGCAAACTCAAGCTACCATACTCATGTCTTGACCACTGAATTGGAGAAACATGACTCTACATCTCTGAACTGGATACATGCCAGCTCCGTGTCTGCTGTGCCAGGGCCCTCTTGGATCACTCACATCAGGTACCTGTCTACTAGTAGCATTCTTGTTCCTAGTAGTAATGCCAGGAGCTACTATACTAGCTTCTTGCTACTAGTAGCAATACCCTAGCTACTAGTAGCCTTCTTGCTCCTAGTGAGGGGCTTTGAGGAGAGTAGATTCCGACCAAATTCTCTTCGGCGACCTTGTTGCCATTACCATCGACACTTTCTCCGCTTCCCGCGGGTGGTTGGGAACAGGTGGTTGTCTCCCGATTGGTCAACACACATCAACACACCATACCACTGAATGATCCAAACAAAATGAATACATCGATCGATCCGAGGGCCACTACTCAGGGTCTTTGCTTCCCCGGGTGTAGACAGGACCAGACTTGACAGGACCAGTCTTGCCCACTCACGGGACACCAGAAACGAAGCACGAGGGGAACGGCCGACTGACCAGCGAAGCAGGTGGTCGTTGTGGTCTCTCCCAGTGGTCTCATACGGTGTGCCGACTCGGAGACGAAGCAGTTCTCAGTTGACCTAAACGAACCCCCACTCACCCACCACCCGGCAGTGCGTCTGTTCACCCGTGGTTTGGGTGCCAACCTCTGTCCACAAGGGCATTCCAAAGCTGAAAGGCCTGCCTGAGGACACTCGCCACCAATCTTCAAAGTGTCACATGTACGAGTGATGGACAAAATCTCTGGCGACCGAAGAAAACCCTCTTCAAAGTGGTCAGGGAAGATAGCCCCCGGAACCTCTGTCCATTCTGAACCAACCAGGGGCGGGCCAACCCAAACCCTAGATTTGGTCCAATCCTTGGATCCAAACTGACGTCGGGGATGTCCGTCCTGGCATGGCTTTGTACTGTCGCTTCGCGGCCGGAAGCTGCCGAGTCCCCGAGGTCGGGGAGCGACCGATTTACCCTGCCCTGCTTGCCGTCACTTATTTTTTTGGGGGGTGAGATGCATCGGACACCTCTTGGTTTCCGAAAAACACAGTGTATTCACAAACCGTATGATGACTGTGATGGAATATACCATATCTTGTAGGTACCCACGTTTGGTGCATCACCCAAATCCCGGAAAAGTCTGAGACGTGTTGACTTTAAGTCTTTAAGTCCGGCAATGACCATCTGGCAGGTCCTTCTTCATTGAAAAACGAAGCTTCAAGAAGAAACAAATTCAGCAGCTTTGCCAGGTTGTTCTTCTCAGTGAACACCTGGTGATGACCTGAGAACCTCACACTCCTTTGCAATGCTTAGTTTTTCTCACCGCTCTTGCCTCATCAAAGACTCAAAGAGGAAAAACAACACCGAGAACGCGACATCTATTGACCATCGGATGCCCACTGGGAAAAAACAAGCAGGATTTCCACTCGTTTTCCTGGGTGTTTAAACGTAAAATACCCGGGTTTTTTCCAACACACCCAAGACATTTTGAAGGGTTTGGGGTGCAAAAAAACGGTACACGGTGATACACGGTGCGCCTCCAAAGCGACTTGGGATCTTGCAGAAGAACTCCTTTCGCGGTCGCTTTCGCAGTGGGAGTCTGAGAGTGGCTCCAAACAGGATGTCGTGATCAGCAGGGACCGTCAATCCAATCTCACTGTCAAGGAAAACGTGTACCTTCAACAAGCACGAGTACCTTCAACAATTGAAAACGTGTAGCACCTGAAAGTTTGAGGATACGTAATATCAACTCACACATGCTGCGTCAACTGTGTATATTGACTAGTGATTGACTGACTACGGTCAGCAAGTGCAGCATGGCCGCTTTCTCAGTTTGGCCTCAAACCAAACGGCTACGATCACGGCACCGTGCAATCCACAGGGTGGTGACGGGACAAGCCGTGGGACCGGTGACCGCGCTCGGCCGCGGGTCCTGGTGCTTTGCTTCGGCTCAAGGCGTTCACCGCCGCGTTCACCGCAATGAGGTCCAGGCGCAGCGACTCGTCTTGGGCCCTGAGGGAGGGCGGATGGGTGGATGGGTGGCCGAAAGTGCGAAACTGAGACTTTAGGATGGTTCAGGTTGTTTGGACTGGACCAAGGAGGAAAATCCCAAATAATCATGTGATGTCATTTTTCTCTACAATGAGATTGACACATAGAGTGGTTGTTTGGAGCATTTGGTCGGGAAAATTGGGTGGCTCCACCTGTCTTACCAGACTCAATTAGGTCCACCTGTAGCTTTGCTTCGAAAGAGTCGACCATCCATCCAAGGAAGACTCCAGAATGGCACATGAGATAACATCAATTTCGTTGGCCATGACTGACTATCTCAACTCTTAAGTCCCAATCTTCCAAGGTTAATATAGAGTCTCAATCTTGGTTGTAAATCTTGGTGATTTTCACATACATTACTTTTCGATCTTGGCATGGGTCTCACTACTTTCATATGCATACGAAAAAAACGACGAGGAGATGGCACGCAAAGCATTCTCATCAACTTGGATGCTTGATTGAAAACATATAGTTAATCATATATATATATACACATTATACATATTTATAGATACACATATAATATACGAGTACATATTGTATAAAGCTTATAGTTCAATAAAGAATGTGGTGTTGAATCCTCCAAGAAATTCGTGCTGTGACTCTGGCTCCAAGATTCTGCCATAGCAGCGCCAGTGCCTCTTGCCAGTGGCGGCTTTTCCCGAACCTGGGAAGATCTAGTTGGACAGGAAATCACCGCACCAGCCTTGGAACAGTAAGACCGTGGGAGATCCAAGAGTAGGCCCAAGTGTTTATTGACTGGGTCCAAGAGTAGGCAGGCCAACAGTAGTCCAACGAGAGGACGGAGGCAGTGGAGACTGTGAACGAAAAGGACTTCTTAGATCTTTGGGTTCTCAAAAGCATGTCCCGAGTGGCCGCAGCCGGTCTTTCCAGGCTGAATCTCTACTACATAACCTGCTATCGCTCCTGCCAGTCCGTGATAGGAAACAAAGCAACTTCGAATCCTCAAGATGACTTGATCTTCCGACTTGACAAAAGGAGCGATGTTCTCCGATTCAAAACCAACTCTCAGTTGGCACCAGGCATCTGGAACGGAGCGCGAAAGCGACCACTCAAAAGGGATCACACCGACTCAGGACCCTTGTACGTCGACGTACGTCGATTCGGCCGGCGACCGGTTTCTGAAAGAATGGTGACCGTACGACGGTGAGATCTAAACGTATTCCAAGAACCTAAAACAAACTCATATGGTATAATAATGGTTTGCCATGTAGAGGCAAATAATGACAAATGTCAATCATATGTCTACTAGTGACGAGGTGCGTCTGTGTTTGCGTAATGTCACTGTGAATTCTGCTAACCAGGAAACCGACCATGCTCCTGCTGAGGATTTGATCCACGGATTTGACCCACGATCACATACGATCACGGCTAAACTCGGCTGGCGCACTCCCTGTGTGCAGCTCAGGTGGCTGACATAGATACCGTGTGAGCTCCTTCAAGGACTCTTGGGGCTCCTTCCCACGTCCAACGTTGTTCACGTCGGATGCGAGATGGTCACAAGGTCGTCGACGGCCCGGACGTCCCGGTGTGGTCCAACATTCTGATTTTTTCTCCGCTTCTTGTTACTCGTAGTAAGAATGCTCCTAGTAGCGATGCCAGGAGCCCCTGGTAGCTTCTTGTTACTAGTGGTCAATAGTGGTCACATGTGGTAACACCTACGGGGGTTCTTACGGTAGCGGTTCAGGACGGGTGTCTGATTGGAGGTTCGTGCCAAGTTCGTGCCCTAAAAGGACTGACGGAAGCGCGGAGTCGTTCCGTCGCGAAGCGAAAACATGATCCGAGGATTGGGGCCTAAGTGAACAAAGCCTATTCTCAACAACAGCAAAGGGCATCGCTACTAGGAGCAAAGGACGCTACTAGGGGCTCCTGGCCTTACTACAAGGAGCAAGGACGCTACTAGGGGCTCTTGGCCTTACTACTAGGAACAAGAAGCTATATATACATATTATTCTGCTCTTCAGATTGGTTTCTTGATTTGATTTGTTTATGGCTTTTTGTACTATTCTCCGCAAAGTTTGAACGGCTCTAACTTCCTGAATCAGTTGATTCTCCTGGGTCTCATTTCCCATGTGCATGTGATCAATCAAACTGGTCACTCTGACGTTCTCCTGAGCTGGCACCCGCTGATGGCCGTGTGCTGCTGCCCCCCACGAAGCCGCTTCGCACATCCATGGCGGTCGGATCGTGGCGACGATTTGAGTGGCGACGATCCTGGGGATGAATCTATCGACCAAAGTTATCACTTTAAATCACAGCTTGCAAAGTGTTTCACAACGTCTTCACCACGCCATGCAGTAGATTTGGGTTCTTTCTAATTATCTTTCAATGTTTAACTTTTGGTTGTGTTCTTTCTTTCTTTCTTTCTTTCTTGCCTTTTTTTCTTTATAGTTTGATCCCATGACGTGCAAATCACCTGATGATGAGCTCACCTGCCAACAAAAGGATCTGCAAAAATATGTCAGAATCCAGAGTGGCCCTCAAGTCACCCAATCGTTCAAAGTATCTCGCAGTTGCTCAAAGCTCACCGGGGGTGGTGCTTCCCTTGTCCTGCTACACTTTGTTGAGCTTGGAAAGAGGTTGCATAGTTACATACGACATATCTATTTTAATTGGATCCTCTGCCAGCCAACTGTGACGATGCATCTATACAGCTTTCCTGTCATGATAGCCCACACCTGTTTTGAGCTCAACCTTTTCATGCCAACCTTGCTCAGTCAAACTTGGAATCCTGAAAGATCAAATCGGTAAACAAATCATTTCGATTGGGTCCAGGTGTGTGGAGAAAATCAACATAGCACAGGTCAGAATTCATGAGTGCTAGTAGCCCCTGTCGGAAGAACAAGTATGTAGGAATAATTGTGAGCTTTGTGATCAAGTTCTGCTCCAAAGGAAAAAAGCCGAAGACATCTGAAGACACCTGTTGCGGATGCAGAATGATGATGGATGATGTGATGTTGATGATTCATATGTTTCTCACGGGCCTGAGTGGCTGGGGGAAGGCTACGGGGATTACACCGTAGCCTGCCCGGCTCTGCCTGAGTTCCCTGAGGCCCTTGCTCCCATTTCCCACACGCGCTGACCACACTGTTCAAGGACACCACGTCAAGCCTGACATGTCTTGGATCTTTTCAGGGGGCCATAGCTATGCAACATTAGCCAACCGACTCGAAACTGAGAGAGGCGTGAAGGTATCCGATATGAGCGGGACATACAATTACATCCTGGAGTAGATGAACATCGGACAAAGTCAGAATCAATCAGAACCTCTGGGTATTTGAATTAGTTTTTTATCTCCTCTGTCTAACAAAGTTAAAAGAATCGCCCAAGACTGCCTCTCATTGTCCCATCTGCTGTTCAATCCCTATGAAACAACTGTTGAATTCGTTTGAATTCCATTCAAGTACGTGACAGCTCCTTCAACCAAATGAACATATCCATGACAATCGTTTGGGACACTTTGGGATCTCAGCTTTGAATTGCTGGGCATGCATTGGGCATCCTTGCAGTGACGAACGAAACAGCAAAAACGACCAAGCAAAGCACAAGGAAAGCACTTTCAACCCATCTAAAATCTAAAGCCACGTACTTCCTCCAATCCATAAAAACTATATAACCAGGAAACTCAGCCTGAGGACCTGACGTTATCTGCTGCCTGATCGCGTGGGACTGATGCACCACCGATAGGAAGCTAAGGAGTCTGACCAACAATCATTTACACAACGAAAAGGAGTATGTATCTAGTATTAAACCATAAACAGCTAAACAATAACAATAACCATATCTCATGATTAAAACCATCAATAACTAATACAGTTGAACACGAGCATCGGCTCCTATATATGGCCTTGAAAACAACGATGCTAAAGGACGGGACAAAACCCAAGAGGTGGAGAATGGTGGATACTGGAGCTCCATCGAAACCGAAAGAGGCTTGATGCCATTTGTTCCGAACTCATTCTACAATCAAATCCCGAATCTCTGCAAACATGCAAGTTGAAAACGTGTGGCGCGTGAAAAACAAGACCATGTTCCTTTCCAAGATCTTGTGGCGTCCACTTCGTTGCGTGCTGGCAAGATTGAAGACAAAGGTATTAGAGGCTCAGTTCTTCGAGATTTTGCTTTTGTGATGTTTTCTTGAAAGTCTGGCGCCTTGGCCTGGCGGCCCTCCAGGGCCCCTCCAAAGAAAACACCCTGACTGACTCACGACATCACATTCCATGTGGATGGCATGGTTATGCGTCATGCATGACGAAATGGTCTCATGGGTTCATGGCATGGTCTCTTGGAAGACGACGGAATCCTTGTCACAAGAGGGGTGCCATCCACTCCCATGTGATGTGTTCGTGGAAGTCTTTTTGGTTTGATCTCTAGGATGTTCCCACCGTTATGGTGACCGACAGGAATGGCTCCCGCTGGTAATGGACAGGAATAGCTCGTCCGCTCCTTCTTGGTTCGGCCAAATATCAGCAACAACTATCCAACACTGACTTCGCAACTGGCGCAACAGTGAACCCCACTTTGGCCTGCAACACGCATTGCCAGTCCGGTCATGGTTCCACTTCTACAATCTTCAATGTCTGAGGCTGTTCTTCCATAGTGGAAGGACACAGTCAAAAAACGTAAGAACCACAAGATTCTTCGTTGAGGATCTCTGACACACCCCGAAAAAGTAAGATAACACTAGGCCACTGGACGGCTGAGTTTCCAGATGACACAAAACATGGGTCGAAAGGCCGTCAAACGACCAGGGGCGACTCAACCACCGGGTGAAGGACCATGAGCGCCATGAGCCCAGTGGATGATGGATGATGAAGAACCTCACACTCTACTGACACTCTACAACAGGTTTTCAACTGCTGATATCCAAACGCACTGCCGCGGCGACACCAGAATGGCCTGGCTTCCAGGAAGTACTTTAAAGCCAGGTCCCAGCGGCCCCCTTGGTAGGGTCAGTCAATGGATGTGCTTTTTCGATCTTTTTTTGATCGTTCAACTACTCCAAGGATGGAAGACCATTTGGCCATACCTCAAGCTAAGTAAGAAGCTAGAGCGGTCCAAGACTCTTTGTTGGTTGTCGTGGCTAGTAATTCGTAAGGAGCTCTGAACGTGTGGCACAATTCTGTTTGGCACCATGGTTGTATTTTACACTGCCACACTGCCACAGCACCTTGCCAGCAAAAAATCAAGGCTGTTCGTTCTCATAATGTTGCTGGCCATCGATTGTAATCTATTCAAAGAACATCCCACAACCCTGTGCTTGGAACAGTTGTGAAGGACACCCACTCTTTTGCCTATGTTTTGCCAGCCTGTGGACCTCGGACCTTGGAGGGTCTTCTCAGCCGCCTATGGAGCCGCGGCTCCCCGCCTCGCTCGCACGCCTGCACCACGGCGGAGCAGGTCACCGCATCCGGCGAAGTCACCTGCGGGACGCGGAGAACCAGATCTGGCAGCTGATCTGGCCGATGTTTCTGCGCTGGGTGGATTCAGCTCTACCCGATGTTGGCCTCTAGGCAGTGTAGCTCCCTCCCAAGTCTTTGAGTGAGTGTAAAGAAGAAAAAAAAATCCTTGCACACAACTGGACACGGGAAAGGAAAGGTCACACTTCTTGGAGAAAGGCCTTGTGGTGCACTGGAACATGTGGATACCGTATGGCTCAATTATGTTCGAAGAATATATATATATATACAACTAGAATAACCCCAAGTTCATGGAAATATATACTACTGTATCATACTGTATCTATATTAGAACATAGAATATTACAGTTTCAGTGCACAAGAATAACCTCTTCAGCAGTTTCGACGCCACCAAGCAGGTATGCCCATAGACTGGCACCCCTATGTTCAGGCAAAGGAATGCCGCGGGATTCTCCAAAAACCCACACATACACAATTCGATTGATCATACAAAGTTGAGATGCGCAAACCACACACAGCAACACCTAAACCCTCAACCGAACACCAAAGTCCACAAAAATCCGACGCTTTTTGAAAGGCCCTTCGATCTTCGATCTTCGGACGGGACTCTGAAGCCGTTCGCACCTGGTCTTGGGATTCCCCTCCCCACCTGGTCCATCATCAGAAGCGCCTTTTGCCATCGGTGACCTGCGCGAAAGCCAAAGAGATGCTAAGCGCCAAGGCATGTGACCCAACGATCTGCCGAGACGGTTGCGTATTGAACCGCGAACACCTCATGCTTGTATAGACCCAGGAGTTTTGAGAATTACATGACATATATTTATTATTGGGAAAGGATCCAATTAGATCAGCAGGGAAAGCTGGAAAAAGGGGTAACTAAATTCATGAGAGATCAGCTTCAACCCCCGATGAATGTAGTTGCAATGGCTTTTGATCTGCCTCTGCCCTCGGTTGGGGAGACGCAGCACCATCAAATGTGCCTCTCTGCATGTACATTACCACACAGGCCACAGGGTGAACAATTGTGCCGCTCTGCGAGTTGTCTTGGGGGTCAATTCACCTTGTTCCTAGTAGCTTCTTGCTACTAGTAGCGTCCTTGCTCCTAGTAGTAAGGCCAGGAGCCCCTAGTAGTGTCCTTGCTCCTAGTAGTAAGGCCAGGAGCCGCTGGTAGCGTCCTTGCTCCTAGTAGCGATGCCTTTTGCTCTTAGTAGCTTCTTGCTACTAGTAATGCACTTAGCTACTAGTAGCGTCCTTGCCTAGTAGCAATGCCCTTTGCTCCTAGTAGCTTCTTGGTACTAGTTATGCACGTAGCTACTAGTAGCGTCCTTGCTCCTAGTAGCGATGCCCTTGTTACTAATCGCGATGCCCTTGTGACTAGTAGCGAGGTATATATATATAAGTTGCTTCAAAGGATTGATATCCAAGATCCACAATAGCTCCGATCAGCCTTGGGGTGTCACTAGCTTTACTTGAGAGCCCATCTACTACTAGGTCGAAATTGTTAATTATTCCTTCTTGTCCAACAGAAACGACGACACACACAGAGAGAGACACGGAACATATACTGTATATACAGTAGTGGTGGCTCCGAATTAGACTTGTGGGTTTATGCCTGAAACTCATTCCCTTCATCAGAACAAGCTGCATAGGCGGATTTTAACACAACATAATATACAAAAATAAGAGGGCCTCAAGACCCGTCCACTTGTCTGTTCATTTTGCAATAAAACCTGAAGGTTTCGTGGGCTAGGAAAACGGCCGAAAAATAGAACGAAGACCAAGAGGGGTTGCCACTTTCACGATGATCTTCTACTGCGTAAGGGTCTCGAAGGTCTCAGACTACAGCACCGGTGAGGTCAGCTTCTCAGACTGCATGGAGTTGCAAGAAGCCATGTGATTCTGGGCTCAAGTGATGTGATTCTGGGCCATCTCTTCCCCTGGTCCTTATGATTGCCATTCCCTGTTCTTGAGCACAGGCTGGCCTTTCTGCAAGGCACTGATAATGGTGTTGAAGGTGACCTGGGCCCCCCCAAATGGGTCGTGGCTGAGCCAGTCTTGTCTTTGGTCCAGTGGCTTTCCCAAAGCTATCTGGGTCCCAATCTACTAGAGGTTCTGGTGCAAGAACAAGGCCTTCGTAAGATCAATGTAATGCAGATTTGCTTTGACACAGGGCTACCACCATTCCAGAACAGATTCTTCAGGAACTGCTCTACAATGTACAACAAAGGAGACGGTGGTGAGGGCTCAACCAGAAGTTATCTTGTGACACCAAATACCCAAGACTTTTGCCCTGAGATGCAGCATGTCCTATTTTATCCTGTTCTGAACCCTGATGGGTCATCCAAATCAATGAAAACCATTCCCCAAGCTATCGTCAGTTGCACAAACGTGGAAAAAACGCATGCCAAATTGGGATCTTCCAAACCACCCAGTATGAATTCCCATGAATGACCCGCCCCACGTCACCCAATCCTCCACCCAAGTGACCAAGTCTGGCTGCAGCTTGTTCATCTGCAGCTCCCACAGGCACTGCAATGCCTGACCCAACGGGCACAGGATAGAGAAAATATAAAACTCCCCAAAGACCCAGTCAAACCAATGGATGCATCGATCGAGTGTTGCCGAATCGAGTGATGATTGGCAACATGACACGTCCAAAAACCCACCCTCAGGAGCATGTCATCCAGAAGGACACAAACGGCTGCAATTGAAGCTGAAAATGCATTATTTCAAAGTCTTGAGTTTGGTGGCGTGCAGAAAGTCAAATCCGTATCTCGATGTTAGACTAAGGGCATGTGCTACTCCGCTAGTCTAGAGTCTAGCTTTGTCTCAGGCAATGGCAGCCATACATGACCAACTATCAAACAACTATTTTTGTGAAAAAGCACAAACGAGAAAAAACAAAACAAAAGCAAATGAAAATGTAAAAACAGCGCAATTTGTTTTGTTTTTTTTTCCTGGTGCCACTTCTGCGCTTATGAGAACTTTTACCCGTCAGCAATATTTGCTGCACGTTCCTAGGAAAAAAAACAATGCGAAAATACAGCAAGAAAAAAAACGTGAAAAAACACGACAAACACGCACAGCTACATTTGTTTGTTTGCTTTACCTTTTGTTTTTTGTTTTTTGCTTTATGATTTGTTCCTTGTATCTATGGCTGACGCGCCCGACTCAAGCCCAGCTTCAAGACCACGTGGTATCTAACCACCAATCCTGTTGTTCATGAACAAACTGCTTGAACCGCAAAATGGGCCCCGAGTGTGATACATATCTGATCATATTTGTCTCCACACACACACACACTGATAGCTGCCACCCAGCCAAATACTTCAATGTGCTTTGTGAACATCAGCAGAGTGGATGATGGTGAACAGGGGACCAACCATTTTTTCAAGGGCTGTGGGCATCGGACCCACGTACCGCTCCTGCAGCCATTGGGAACTCCTCTCGCACGCCTGGGCCAAAGTTGGACAGTCGGGAGGTTTAGATCCGGGAAGGGACCCACATGGAACCTGATGGCAAGGACCTTTGGAAGACGATTTTTCTTTACAACCCAGTGGTTTTCTATGGTTTTCAGGTTCCATGTGTGTCTCTTCCAGGGTTTAGATCTGCAGTCGGTCGGCAGTCAACCTGTACTGTATATGGACTTGTGACTTGGGATGACTTAAGGACTGCTAGCTTCTCTTTGCTAGAACCTAGCCCACTTCGTTTCAGCATTGTTTGCACCCTCAGAAAGCCCCTCATGGAAGGGTCGGTTCGGTGGGCTTACACCCCTTGTTGGGCTGTGAGCCAGTGCGATCTTCTCCGACCGACATGGCGACACACACTTATGGATATGCGTACTGACTCGATTGCGGTTGCCACACGCCAGCCTAAGTGAAAAAAACCTAAGAAGCCAGGGTGAGTATAAGTAAGGCTTCTCAAAACCTCCAAAGCTCAAAGTTCTCGAAACCTCCAAAGCTCGAAGCGGCGACTGCATGACAGGTGAGTTCACTTTACTGCAGGACCGAAGCCGAGAGAAAAGTCTTGTTCTAGTGACAAGCAGGGCCCGTAGGAATTGAAAGTCATCACTCAGCAGGTACGTAGTTCTGGCGTCCCAGAACTATATCACAGTGCGACAAATGCGTCTTCGTTGGCTGGAGACATCTGAAGCACACTCCAGCCCCCCTGCTACTAAATCACCAGCACAGCAAAATCCAATCCGAAGGGATTCCTGTGAGTCCAAGGGCTACACTTTGACATTGGTTTTCAGTTAGCTCAATTCCCAGGTCGAAAATGGTGAGGGAACGGCAAGGCGAAAAGGTCGGTGAGAACTGTATGGTTGAACAATGTTTGCAATCTGACACACAAGCGGTGGAAAAAAAAAGGGTTTGGGGGACGTATCATGAACAACCATGGAATCGAAACAGGAGGATTGGAACAGCGTACTCAACCGTTGAAGCAGGTACAGGTGGATGATCAGTCCACCCCTCCCTCGTCATACCGTAGCTTCATTGCGTACGGTGGGTATGACGAGCCGTACGCCCCTGCTTTGAAAACATGGGAAGCCCTTAGGGGCAGGGTTTGACACACACACACACGGTGCCGCTTTGCGGTGCTCGTGCGAACGACCTGAATGGGTACCTAAAAAGCCTTAGAAACAAAAGAAGGAAACACAGAAAGAGCAGCGCTAAGAGGGCAAGAGAGAAAGGTAGGAGTAGAAAAAAGTGAATACTTAGCCCTTGACTGGGGTAGGGAAACGAGCCTTAAGAGCAACCAAAAAAGCCTGAGAGAAAGCCCAACAAACGACGAAAAGCGCAAGAAGGAAGTGGGGGGCAGGGAGGGGGTGTATGTCCATGTGTGTGTGTCTGAATACTTTGCACTCTAGAGTTACTGATTACTTAGCAGAAATGAATTACAGTAAGTGCAACAGTTAGGGAGCGGGACTTTAGTCTTAAACTGCCCGGGTAGAGAAGACTAGAAAAGGGACAACAGAGGGAAAGGCACCGACACACAAGTGTGCCGAGTACCATTTCCCTCTGTTACCCTAATTAGGCAGGGAGTAGAACTCGGCGGGGAGGGGGGGTTGGGAAACATGCCTGACCTCAAGTGGAATTCCGTTTTTTAGCCCGGCGGCTGTGGTATCATGTCGTGCAAAGCCCGACGGCTTTTGAATCAGTTGATTCAGTTAAGAAAAGGTGGAAGACAAGGTGCAGTGGACGAAGTAAATCCGTTACATGATTTCCGGAGTGAATTCAGCGCCCCTGTCACGGGGATCACACCCAGCACCCAAGTAGGACGGCTGAGCGGTTCACACTTTGACATTGGTTTTCAGTTAGCGCAATTCCCAGGTCGAAAATGGTGAGGGAACGGCAAGGCGAAAAGGTCGGCGAGAACTGTATGGTTGAACAATGTTTGCAATCTGACACACAAGCGGTGGGAAAAAAAGGGTTTGGGGGACGTATCATGAACCACCATGGAATCAAAACAGAAGGATTGGAACAGCGTACTCAACCGTTGAAGCAGGTACAGGTGGATGATCAGTCCACCCCTCCCTCGTCATACCGTAGCTTCATTGCGTACGGTGGGCATGACGAGCCGTACAACCCTGCTTTGAAAACATGGAAAGCCCTTAGGGACAGGGTTTGACACACACACACACAGTCTCCCGCAACAAAAATATGGCAAAACCCCCCCTCTGATGGAGCAGAAGATTTAAATTCAATATCATGTACTATCATGTATATTATATTCAATATCGATATCAACATCAACATCAAATACATGTGATTATTCAATATCAATATCATGTAGTAATTCGCTTTCCCTTTCTTTTGTTGAGTCTTGTTGAGTGCTCCCTTTGCGGCCGACACATCGGCGGATCCATGGCGGATCCCTTCCTCGCGGGGCCGATGGCTATCATTCTCCAACACCAGGCACTTTGGCTAAAAAGTTGTCTTGTTCCTAGTGGTAATGCCCAGGAGCTACTAGTAGCTTCTTGCTAGTAGTAGCGATGCCCTTGTTACTAGTAGCTTCTTTGTTCCTAGCATGTCTGTACACCACACCCAAAACTGCCGCCTCCCCACAGCGACCCTCAGGACCACAGGCCATCCCGTCATCCACCCATCCCGCCTTGATGACGGCGTTGTACACGATCGTGTCCAGGTGTTTGTGCCTCGACTCACCTGCGAGATGGTGGAAGTGGCGGTGGACCAAACGTATTTTGGACCAATGATATCTTGGGCCAAACCAGTGGGTTTGTAGAAGGGGAGCATAGATGAAGATAGTCTGACTGACTGATGTCACAGCTTTTTCTAAGAGACACATATAGACAATAACTTGGTAATTTCGGGGCGTGAAGCAAGGTGGTGAGGAGCAGTTACTGTATATTTACTGTAAAACACTGCTTCATTTGGGGTTCGTCGAGAGGAACAACCCACCTATGCTTTTTAGGGACACAGCATTCATGATAAGGTTGTTTACATTCAATGTTTGCATGCAGCTGTATACAGCTGTATACAAGGATGGCTGTATCACTGAATGCAGGGAGTGCCATGTTTCAGGGCTGACAAGAGGGATTGGGTTGCGAAGCCTTCGATTCAAGTGGTGAGTTTCACATTCTTTTAACAAACCACTCGTAACTCTCACTCTCTTTCTCAGTCTGTCTTTGCTATATAACAGGGTCAAGCAAACACTGCGTGAAAGACCCTTCAAGCAATGCAAAGAAACGTAGAGATTTGAACCCCTGGGCGAGGCAACAGTCAACATGTAACATGTCCTTTTGGAACACCCTGCAAGTCTTGTGGTGGACCAAAGACATTCCGACGATAAAAGAATCGAAGAACCAAAAATCATCCGAAATCCCATTCCTTCCCCACCTCGACGGGACTTCTGCAACGCTCCAAGCCGACGGCGACTGGACGCAGCCGGTGCTCTCGGGGCTCCGCACGAAGTGTCTGCAGGAAGTGGCAGCTCTCAGCCCAGCGCTGCTCACGGCCCAATGCCTCGGTGGGAAGGATGCCTCCTCCAAACATCGACATCTCTCTCTCTCTCTATATATATACACATAGTAATATAGTTATAAATAACTATAAATGTCGTATTGTATATAATATGCGTAATATATTCATAATATATGTGTATATATGGTGGTTGATCAATATTCTTTCATCCTGGAATGGCCATTCATCGCGGAAAAAAAGATATCTTTCGCGGATCTTTCGCGGCCTCATCGCGAAGCGTGGTCCTACAACCATGTCTAGCTAACATGAGCCGGAACATGTCATAGTATCACAAAATAGGGAGAGACATCTTGCAGCATGACCCCAGTAGATGGTTAAACGTTTCCACAGCTACTCAGGGTCACTTGCAGCATCTGTGCGACAATTGTGCCAAATAGAGTCAGGCACAACTCAACCCAATCCTCGTGTCAGCTACCAACACAGGGTGATGCAGCTTGGGGAATGTTGGGGGGCCTCAAGCTGGGAACCTAGACTTTAGCGGCACATTCGCGAAGCTTTCGCGGATCTTTCGCGAAATTTCACTGGTGCTTTCCCCGGGCACGGAAATGTTGAGGCTTCAGTTCGTTAGTCTGTGACATATGGGGACACTTCCGCCCACTGGCTCTTTGTCAAAGGGAAACAATGAAAGCGATGACCTTCGATAAATCTTTCGCGGAAAAAAAAAAGATACTTTCGCGAACCTCATCGCGAATCTTTCGCGGATGGTTCTAACAACATCTGAAAGGCTGTTTTATATAAAACTCCTTACACGGGGTTTTCGATCAACTCCCATATATTATATATTGTTGTCGTTGAGATCCGAATCTCTAAAAACGTGCCAAGATGTACCGAGTACTTCATGGGGTGTCCGGAGTGTCCGGGTGCCCTAAGACTCTTGCTCTGAAGTGGATGACATGTTCATTGTTTATGTTCTTTTTGAAGATATCACACCTGGTGGTTTTACCATGTTTGTCTATCATGATGTATGTCAGTTGGACAAAGAGTACAAAATGATGTGGCACCAGTGTGTGTGTGAGTGTGTGCAATGGAACAAGTAAAGCCACTGGTTTGGCTCTCCAAGCAAGGGGTTCATGTTCATGATTTGCAGCATATTCATCGTTTGTGTTTATTGCTGTTCAAGGACGACTTCGAAGCTGCATCAAGGTGGAGATCCATGATAGGGCCCCAGAAAACGCGTGAAACACGGTGAACACATGCCAAAGTGGCCAGCGGAGACTAGCACTCATCCTGTTGGCGTTGGCCTGGGCAACTCATAAGATCTAATAGGGAACGGGGCGAAGACATGCGAAGACTTCAATGATCTTGAATGAACATTGACAGCACTTTGGATTATTTACACTCATGTCGCATCACGCAGCCCACTTCTTTTGAAACACACAAAAACATCAAAAAACTGTTCGATCAACAAAAGTAATACGGTTTTTTTGGGCGACAAACCCCACCCCGGCGACACCAGGCGACTTTCACCAGGCGACACTGAAAATGGAGGTCCACAGCCTCGAGTCACCCGACTCCAGCGTCCTCGCCGCAGACCCGGTCACGATCCAACACGTGACGGTCCGTTGATCTGCGCTGTCTCGTAGACAAAAGAAAGCGTCGCTTCTGGCGGTTCTCTCGTATGAATATGTCATATGAATCTATGAGTTCCGTTGGTCTCAATCCTGTCTTCATGTAGGACATAGCGACATGGTTAGCCAATCAGAATGCAGCACGTAATTCCAAACCCTTTGAAGCCAAACCCTCAAGAAGATCCCCCCCTCTTTTAAGAACATAAACCAACTTGAGTGTGCATAATCATATCAGCTCACAGTTCTTGGGACCCATGCGCGAACCAGGGTATGAGACTGACTATGAAGCGGATGCGTCTTTCTATTTCTTGTTGTTGGCACTGGCAGGAGATTGATATCTTGCTCTTGCTGACCTTTGCTGACACCCCCGTTGGCCAGAGCTCTGTGGCATGGTGTCAAGCATCGTAAAAAAGGAAGGTCAATGGTTGAGGACAGTTTATATGGTTGACCTGGTTTACAGATGTTTACAGTTTATATAAGCTTATAAGCCATTGGCAGATCGGTGGTAATGTTGTGGTGGTAATCCGCTGCTAATGTGGTCAAGGATTATTCCTTATTCGACTGGCAGGGTTTGTACCTTCAATGCTATTCAGTTCGCACACATACAAGGGAACATGCGACCCTCTAGGCATCTTTGGCTACTGACGTGGACGGGCTGATTCGCCTTCTCAGTAACAGATGTTAAAATGAGGGCTCGATCTTATTGGATCTATTCGGGAACCAGTCCATACACAGCACAAACAACACTTTGTCCTCTTCCAAGCGATTGACCCTTTCCCTGAGAACCACTGGACCCTGGAAGCACTGTATCGCAGCCAACAACGAGTGTCTCCCTCTGGCACTCACCTTTGGAGCTCATCGAAAGGTGGACTCTTGCGGCTTCGGGCTGCCGCACCTCGAAATGAGCAAACAAACTTGACCTAAGAGCGATGGCCTCCAACCTAATAGCAATGGCCTCCTACCTAGTAGCAAACCAACTTGACCTCCAAAAACATGGCAGGTAAAGCTTTCCAGAAAGACCATGGCAAGTTCACTTCTTGGGATGTCCAGTGAAGCAAGTACTTACACATACTCTTAATTTGGCTCAAACTGTGGGGAGACTGGCCATGTTGCCCCAGTTTCATTCCCAGCCACGATGTTCCAGTCAGGTCAAGCTTGCAAACCAGTCACTGAACAGAAGAAATTAATTTCATGCAATCAGCAGAACTGACTGAACGTTTCACAGTGTTCTTCTTTAAATTCCTTCAAATCTTCTGCATAACAACAATGTCTGTGCAAAAGGAATCCCAATAAACCTGAATCATATGTGTCGTTCCAAGCCTTTTGACTGCCTTTTGACTCTTGTTTGACTTGCTGATCACTTTCAAAACAGTCGAAGTTGAAGCGCGGATTAACAGTTTTTTGTCTCGGCTTCAACATCTGAAACATGAGGAATACTGGGAGGTCATAGTCCTACTTGTCACTTCTTCCTACCCTGGTCCACGCTCGCTTCCCCCGTACCTAGGTGTCCCTGCCAGCGTATCGTCGAATCCTGTGGCGGCGAAAGGGCTGCGAGCAATGGCGTCTGGTCACCAGTAGCGATATGATGGGTCAAAACCTGGAGCTCCAAACCCAGGTAGGTTGACCTCCCAGGTAGTCTATTCTGTTAATTTTCCTGTGGTCTCCCCCAGGGTGTCCCGGTGTCAACACCCACATCTGGTCCGCCAAATCTTCTACCTACACGATATGCTGGAAAAGCTCCTGCGCAATGCTGGAAAAGCTCCTGCTAGCGTTCTTGCTCCTTGTTGTGGAAAATCTCATCATATCCTACTTTAGGTATCTCAGTATCTCCCACTACCAGTAACAGTGGATGATGATGAGGGTTCAAAAACCGTCGTAATCTTTTAAACCGTCGGCTCAACCCTAATCCTACTTGGCATTAATCACACGAGCAAACGCCAACGGTCAGCGCTGCGAAAGCCGCACCTGAAACGGGCACCTGAAAGCGGCACCTGAAAGCGGCTCCATCGATGGAGTCTCCGCGGCGGGTGCACGACACTGTAACCGCGGAAGCTTCCATGCCATGGAAGTGACGATGGCGATGGGGTCCTGGAAGACCATCTTTTCTCACCAAGGGGTGGTGAACTCCACTTGTCTTTCTTCCATGTATTTCCATGTGCTCGTGGGAGTGATACCTCATGGGTGCATTCCAGAATACATGACTCATAGAGTATGGTACGATCCAGTCTGTGAATGTCTGTGACAGGGAATTCATACGCGAGCATGCGCCAGCATCACCAGGACGTCTAATTGGGACGTGCTGACTCTACGACTTGATCCATCTCTATGACTTGATCTTGGTGTGATTCTCGGTTCTGAGAAAACATTGGGGTCAAAATCGATTGCAACTCGGTGTAAGAGTAGCCCGCACAAAATGGATCGGTGGTGAGTCATGATCCATTGAACCTGACATCTCCTGAGCTGCCAACCCAGCGTCCCCAACTCGCTCGCATTGGACGTCTCGCATCGTGGAAAGGCTTTGAGCGGCCGGAAAAACTGGTGGTTCGGGCGACTGCGTGCGTGGGGACAGGATTCTCTGAGATCTTGGCTGATGCAAATATGCATGATAAATGGTTCAGAGTGGTAAGTTAAGAACACGGAATAACAAATTGACAACAACAAATGCGTGTGTGTGTGTGCCCCTTGTAGTCACACAGATCCAGTCGGATTGTGTTCTTCTTTTTCAGCAGGGGGCTGGAGTGTGCTTTAGATGTCTCCAGCCAACGAAGACGCATCTGTCGCACAGTGATATAGTTCTGGGACGCCAGAAAGATGTACCTGCCATTTCCCGAGTCTTCTGAATGGCATGAGGCTAAGCCAAGAACCTCACGAGGCAGACAAGTACGACCGTCGTCACTCTGTCGCTTCGTCGTCGACTTGAGACTTTGGCCTCCGTTCCTCTTGAAGACCCCCAGGTTCCTTAGGACTTTCCTGGATTTGGGTTTCTTAGGCTGGCGTGTGGCACCGCTTTCAGTTCCGTATGCATATCCATAAGTGTGTTTGGCCTCGTGCCAACCCGGGATGAGCCCGCAGAGTGCCTCCCGTAGACCCGTCGAACGGGGGTTTGTCGTTATCTCCCTTGCTTCGGAGATGTAAGTGTCCGGAGCGGACAGCAGATGGCTTACGCCACAAGAAGTGGGATGTTTGTCTCATTTTTGGAATTCCAAGTTGGCTCATGCCTTTACGTGACCGCAGCGGTCAAAGCCAGTTTAAGGTTCATTGGAACCTGTCGGCGACTTAGGTGCACATACATCGTACACACCTTAACGAGGCAGGTCTTCCTAGGTTGTTGTAATGAGGTCTGGTTTCATCGGTTCCCGTCCCCTCCATTTGGTTCCCCTTTCACCCTTTCCCCTTCACACACTTCTTTTCCTCTTTCTTTTCATGTCTTCCCTTGCTTCATGTCCTTTCATCTCACCCCTTTCGTTCTTTTGCGTGTACAACGGTCCGGGCCTTAGTGTGTACGCGCACATCTACTTTCAACTCAGGTGTTAGGTCGCCCAGGTCTCGACAATGAGGTGGGTTTCATCGGTTGTCCCTGTGCACTTGGTTTCTCTTTCATCGCAACCACACACACTTTTGTCACGTCTCGTCTTCCTTCTCATGTCTTCATCCCTCTTGTCTTTGCTGCGCGCACATTTACACATTTGCCCTAGCCTTAATTTTGCCTCCCCTTGGGGAGGCGTGTGTGTGTGTGCCCCTTGTAGTCACAGGGATCCAGTCGGATTGTGTTCTTCTTTTTTCAGCAGGGGGCTGGAGTGTGCTTCAGACGTCTCCAGCCAACGAAGACGCATCTGTCGCACAGTGATATAGTTCTGGGACGCCAGAACTACGTACCTGCCATTTTCCGAGTCTTCTGAATGGCATGAGGCTAAGCCAAGAACCTCGCTAGGCAGACAAGTACGACCGTCGTCACTCTGTCGCTTCGTCGTCGACTTGAGACTTTGGCCTCCGTTCCTCTTGAAGACCCCCAGGTTCCTTAGGACTTTCCTGGACTTTTCAGGATTTGGGTTTCTTAGGCTGGCGTGTGGCACCGCTTTCAGTTCCGTATGCATATCCATAAGTGTGTGTGTGTTCTTTTTCAAAATGCTGCGCAAATTATATTGTTTTCCTCTGTCAACTGCCTAGCATTACTGGGGCCAAGTCTCGCGGAATCCCGCACTCTCAAGAGAAGCCTGTTATTTTGTGTTTGTTTTGTGTGTGATTGTTTTTGCAAGTGTTGTTCAAGACTGCCTTGTAGCAAGTTTGTGCAATGTTCCAAGACAACTTGGGTCGGTCTCCAAACGAGTGGGGTGTTCAACTAACTGTCCTACCAATGAAATGAAATCTTAATTGACCCCTCCCCAGCCAAAAAAAACAATCGACCACAACTTAAGCGACATTAAAGTGGCAGGACATTGGATTCCCTGGAGAGAGCCATAGTCAGCTCAAAAGGCAACGGAAGCGCGTGGCCGGGCAAATTGGTCCTGGACTCAGTAGGTGTGGGACGACTACTAGGAGCAAGGATGCTACTAGTGGCTCCTGGCCTTACTAGGAGCGATCGGACGCTACGAACGGAGCAAAGGGCATCGCTACATCAGATCTGTGCCACATGTCAACCCCATCCATGCTGTCAGGAACTCGCTGTCGCTTGAACCACTTCATTCACTTCGTTATAGTGTCCGCTAAGCTTCAGGGCCTTCAACTCTAAAGTTCAGGGCCTTCAAGCTTTGCTTAGCGCTTGATCGCCACAGAGTTTTGAAGTCACGGTGAATCCACGCAATGCTTCAGGAAAGACCATGTTCCCGACCAAAGATGTCTTGAACTCTTGTATGATTATACAATATCACAAATATCTAAATTGTATATATATATAATACATATATATATATTCCTTTCAATCAGAACCTTCCTCACAAGCAAATTAAGCATTGCAGCACTACCAATTCTAGTTACGCATCTTTGGCCTGTCAAACAGCTTCAGCGGCCACCCTAGGCCGCTTTCCACCACCCACTTTAACACCTGCAAGCATCCTCTGGTGGTGTCCCTACACAGTATCCTTACAGTCGTTCCACATTTGTTTGGCGCAAACATTAGGTACTAATTACCCTAAACCAACGTGGTCAAAACACACCAGTGGGTTCATTTCATGGCTAGGTTCATTGCCATTTTTGGGGCTATGTAATATATATAATATATTAAAATTATACGTATTTATACGTATAATACATGCGCAATCAACAAATAATACCAAACATCCCGTGGGTGAAAGCCGGTGAAAGCCTTCAAAAAAGCACTGAGAACTCCATGCCTCCACCTAACCTTCCTTCCTTCTGTCTCCGTTCGGCGGGGGATGCAACGCACCAGGTTCTGGGTCTTGAGATCACGGTGGATCAACGGCGGCTTCAACCTCGGCCATTGGAAGGCGGCGATGTTCGCGGCTTCCCGGCGACCCGGCTGGATTTCCGAGGACGACCTCTGAAATGGGGACAGTCATTGTAGACTCTTGATTCATAACAGCCCTCCAATGTGAAGACGTCTTAAAATCCAAATGAGGGGGTTTTATGCATCACGCGCCTACATTAGGGTCAGTCTGTTCGTGGTTTTGGTGCTGTTGTCCGGCGAAAGACAGTTGGGAGTGTCAATGGACTGTGGATTGGTTGATATCTTTGCTAGCAAAAAAAACATGACAACAAAATGGTGGCCACGTTCAGTACGACAAACAGCGTTCAGTTGGAACAGCCAGTACACCGCTTGCCAAAAAAATAAGGCATGTATTCTGCAGTAGTGTTTTGCAATGTGACCCAGCAAACAAAGGTTGCTTTACTCATGAAACTTCGGAACATGGAAACCTCCTGCTAGTAGAACGAAACAACTTTATTGTTACTAGTAGCGATGGCCTCCAACCTAATAGCGATGGCCTCCACCTAGTAGCTTCTTGCTACTAGTACATCCTGTCAAGTTGTTTTTGTTTTCAGAACATGGTCAATTCCGCTGGGTTCTATTTAGGATCAGTCAAGGTCCCGAGTCTGTGCCCCAGTTCCGATCTGAGCTTCTCAAGAGCCCTGTTGGTAGCTGTTGGTACCTACAAGCCATCCTGACAATGGGGTTCTAGAAACAAAAACACAACACCGGGTAGAGAAAGCGTTCTAGCAGGTTCTTAGGACGTTTCACTGTTCAAAGTGGCTCGATCTGAGCTCCCATTTTGCATAACCAGCGACTCTTCCGGAGGTACATATGGTAGGCTTTCACACTTGGACGAGTTACAGTATCTACTTATTTCGCATGTGAGTTTCCCTTGATTATATATCTTGATTCAGAATTCCTGCCATCCACTGCACTACAATCCAAAAATCGTCGTCGCACGGATGGCGAAGGCGTTCTGAGGTCCTCACTCATGCATGTATTGAATGGCCACAGTGGTCTGAATTGAGATCTTCAACCTGCCCACACCGCCCATGGGTCGAGCTGAACATGCGGGACGTCCAAGGGATTGCATAGATCTGGATCACATCCAGATTTTGAGCATTTATATAAACTCAAAGGAAACACAACTCAAACTCTTCACGCTGAGGTTCCTGCACAGTGCCTTGATCTTGCGACAGTCGCTGTGTAGTAGCAGCTGGTGTCTCTTCAGCAAACACTAAGGACTACAGTAGACTACAGGCTCTAAAGGATAGACTGACTGTAAACATCAAACATGTCGACTCAGTAGGACATGTTGCCCTGATGCGCCTCAGACTTGGTCTTCCTCTACAAGTAGCATCAAATAGCTGATTCTTCGATGATAAGTTATCCTACCCCGACCCTACAACTCACAAGAAAACCAATTTCTCACCGTGGCAAACCACAATTCCTCTTCCAACATCACAGGACAAAGAAACAACTGTATGCGATTGCATCCCAAAAGGGGGCGCTTCGGTACTTCGATGCCTTCCCAGTACTCCGTACTTCATTCCTGATCACCCCGAGTTTGGCCCGGGCCTCAAGGCGGCCTTCAATGCAATGCCATTGATGTACCTCGAGCTGGGTCGCCCGGAAGCCGCCTTCCGCCACAGCCGTGGGCCGCACACCGTTGCTCCGCCCGGGCGGAGCAACGCCACACAACCCGCTCAAGCTGCGGTGGTGGCACGTGGATCTACGCAACATCCATATCATGAAACAAACTGCCAGCAGGTGGGGAAGGCGACCACTTTCCAACAAGGTCTACATTATATATGATATATCAGTTCTCATTCGGTTGGAGAAACTGAGGCTGCAAAAGGACTGCAGCCATCCGAACAACCAGCCGCGTGTCAGGCAAATGGACACCTGGACACCAGTGAGACGAATCAATCCATCCCTTTGGTCCTTGGAATATCATCGGATGTTTCTTTTCTGGTTACTGAGCCGAGAGCCTTACTCGGCCTTTCTCTTCACAACCAGAATTACCGTATCAAATTTTGTTCGGAGCGGCGAGGCCGCTGCAACTCTGTCCAAATGAGACCTGCTACGACAATGAATCTCCATGGCCCACACGGATATACAACAGGTCTGGGATGCAATCTTCGTTCCTCCCGACAGCGGCTTCCCGCCACCGGGTCGCGCTCGCGAGACTTTCGGCAACAGCCTGACTCGAGCGGAGCGCTCCAGCCAAAGCTTGTGATCAAAGACTCCGTCACCCTGGAGATGGTTTCTCTTCAGTGAGGTCCAAGGGTGCCAGATCTCTTCGGTGTGGTGATACAATGTGATACAAAGCTGCTCGTTTTCTCTCCATGGTGCCGAACGCCTCCATGCAGAAGACACCGGTACATGGAGGCGTATGTCCAAATGCGTCCAAACATGTCCAGACTGCAAAAGTCCAACTGGGGGCACAGGAGGTCAAAGAGATTGCCGTTACTCAAGTACCTGCAGCTCCACCGGTGCGGCAAATCATGAATAGCTGTGGATCCGAAAAAAAAAGAAGAAACAACGGGTGAAGTGGTTATCTGTTTAGAGAAACCACAAAACCATAAAGCTTGCATAATGAACCACCTGCCATACCTCTGTTGTCCCATACCTCTTCGGAGCTTTCTGGAAGTGAGCCGATGAGGTGCCTGACCGAAGGATTCAGTCCTCTGTTGGCCCTAGGCCCTAAGAAAGGAGGGAACCAGATTCAGTAGCGTAGCCAGCTAGAGATATCATAGACAGATATTCATATATATATATATAAATATATATATAACACATTACCCATCTCATCCCATCTCTATCCGTCTATTCATCAAAGTCGCTACAAGTTCAATGGATAAGCTTCTAGCACAGGAATCTTCCTTGAGATTGGCGACCCTTAAACTACTCTGCTACCCCTGCTACAACACCCTACATCTCTCGGATGGGCTCCCTTTGAAATCTACCGATCTCGGTGGCAAACCTCTCCACTCGTAGCATTTGCGCTCATTCCCAAGGGAGAACAAGCATCCCGTATAGAATCCGTTCCGCCTTGTTCCGGTGACTGTCTCCGTCACCCGACTGGCAGAGCTTCAGACCGGAACCAGGTCTCACCGGTCGAAAAAAACCATGCTGTGGATCCAAGGAACTCGGTGACAATGGCCAGGTTGGGGTACTCCAGAACGCAGCCAATGTACCTGGAAGAGAGAAACAAGTGAAATCATGAAATCGAAACGTCAAACGTCAATGGCGATAAATTGTTTGCATACAGATTCGTGTGATCATGGGCACATCTTCAATTACCACTCGCGCAAACCAACGTCATGGCCTGTTGGGCTTCTACCTCTTCTGTTTTGACCAATTGAACTCCCTCCCCCCTTCCCCTTGGCTAAGGATCCAGGATGGCTTTGAAAACGTGGTCGTTGTCCTGTTGAGGTCACCAGTGAGGTCGGATGCGCGATGCTCGTGGGACCGAAGACTTTGGTGAACGAGCCAAACCCATTCGTCCGCCATGTCTGTGTCGCTTACAGACTGGGTGTGACTCTTCCACAACACTGGGAGGCCTCCCTTGGAACCTAACTTAAGGTGGTGCGAATATCTATCCTGCGACACAGGGTCGGCCTTTTGAACAGAAGGGTGGACGGTCTACGCTCTCGACCAGTCCGCGCACGTCTGGCAGGCCGACCGGTCCTGGTATGGCCACTGTGCGACCCGGTCCCGAGCCACCATGCAACGCCCGGGCACTTGACGATGTAGTCATGTTTCATGATCCTCGGAGAGACGACGGATGGAGGCGGACGAACAAAGGAATTAAAAGGAGAGGATGTACAGCAAACACTTGTAGGAAGTCGCTTGGGATCAAAATGGATCAACAGGTGAGACCATGAAGGTTATACAATATGATAAATATAAGCTACACATGGCTTTTATCAAATGGCCTTGAAGTTACATACCGGCAGGAATGAGAATCCCTTGACCATCATGAAACACCTAAGCTGAATCTCCATCAGCAAAGGGTTTTCATGGTTTCATGAAGTGCCCTAGGAACAGAAACCCAAACAGGGCCCTGTGCAATAAATCCTGGTACTAATAAATATGTCCTAGGGCTGTGCTATTTGTTTTGGGATCTTCTTGCCAACCTCGACTTCATCATGCTGATCCCGAAGTCTGCCACTCCACGGATCACCATGCGGACAAGGAAATGGCTTTCCTCGCAGGAGACTGGGATGATAAGGGTACATGTATGGTCAGAACCCAAAACTCTATGAGAAAGTATGTCCTGTGACAATTCAAGGAAAATGTTTGTTCTAGCTGCTAGCTTCAGATTCTAGGTGTCATGTCATGTCTTGAATTATATTGATGTTTGCCATCGTTTTCCTACAAGGGCCAAAGGCTACAAAGACAAACATCCGATCTATTTGGACATGGGTCCCAAAGAACGTTCTTTCATCCTTGCAATGATCGAAAAAACGCAGGCAGAGCGAAACCAAGGAACCTATGTCTCTACTTTCTTGTGTTGGCCAAACTAGGTACCAAAACCATCTGCATCCCTTTCAGGCCAGATGGTCCTTCACATCTCCTCTGTATCGTTTGCAATCATTCTATCTTTATTACAAAACCACCCTACGTCGCCCATGTCACGCTTCTGAGCCCCCGAGGCTTGTAGGAGTTGATCTCCCTCTCCAGGTTTCGAAGTTGCTCCTGGCAAAGCAAACCAGCCAAGCCAGCAAGCACTACACTCTTTGAAGTCATCATGGTTGGCGAGTACCAAACAGGTGGTGCCATCCACTTCCATGAAAAAACCGAACCGTTTGGTGTATCGATTGGTTCCCAAAGCTGTTTGCAAACTTGGGGTTCTCTCTGGCCAGAAAGAAGGCGCTGTGAACCCTTGTCCTTCTGTTGTCCTCTTCTTGTCCTTCGGTGGCGTGGCTGAGCCGTCCTGCTGTTTTGTGCCCTCGCTGGCGAAGCCTGTTGGTCAAACAGTGTCCTCTACTCACGAACCCAGTGTTTTCCTTTTGTCCTCCTGCCACACGGTGTTTTGTCTCTTGTCCTCCTGATATCCTCCTGCGTCCCCGGCCGCGCTGGCGAATCCTGTCTCCTCCTCTTCTTGTCCTCCTGGTGTCCTCCTGTAGACGCACTTTTTTCCGCGTCTTTAAGTCCTTAAAGTTTCTCATACATTGCAGGACCAGATCTCAATGTTCCCAAGTATCTTTCTAGGTATGAGGTAGGGTGACAAAACATGATGTAATTAGTTGTAACTAAGGATGAATTGAGGATGTTCTATCAACAGAGTTGCCCTCGAATGATGAATCATGCACCTCAGTCCCACATAGTCCAAATTAGTCCAACCGCCCACATGAGCATAAACACCAAAAACCACCTAAACACACAGCCATACTACTTCCGCCCACACCACCCACTTCCGTCCGCGTGACCCACCCACCTACTGAACGCCCGCCCCGCCGGAGACACCCCGGTCTCCGACGTCATGGAGCCATCGGAGCGAAGGAGGCACCGTTTCACGCCTCGGAGGCCATGCGAACGGCGCCGACACCGCGGTGGAGCTGCGAACGGGTCTGGGGCGGTCTGGGCGGCGTCGATTTGGACCTGGAACTTGCAGCCTGGACTTGGAACTCACACATCTGGATGCAAGTTCCTTAGTTGGAAACTCCATTGGTCATTGTCATTCACCAAATGACTCCATTTCTGATGCAGGCCTAGCTGAAGTGGTCCTGACTCCATTGCTCCCGATTGTCTCAAATGGCCCTGGCCGAGCAGCGTTGCACATGCCCTGGTTACGAGAGCTGCAAAGTCCTTGTCCTTTGCCAAAGATCAAATGGGTGGCCATATGGCCATTTGTGAGGGTATTGACTCACCCGGGCGCCTTGGTTACGAAATAAGATGAAAGAGCTTGTCAGGTTGTCCCTTCTCCTTCTCCTTCGCCGAAGTGGAGGTCTCAGCTCTTCGGTCTGAGGTCTCCTGCAAACCTCACGGCCTGCATGCCTGGCGATGGCGCGACCCGGTCCCGGTCCTTGGGATCCTTCGCGGCGCCCAAAAGCACCGGTCTGACTGGTCGACTGCCCAGAAACAAAACGACGCGTACATGATCTGTATCCAGATCTTGGGGTCTTCTTGGGGTCGATGTTTTCCACCGTCGGGGCCATTTCTGTACTCCTTCACTCCTTCCTTTTACAGAACTCTTTAGAGGACCGGTGCCTTGCGGCCACATCTTCCCGATCTTCGCTCACCAGGCCCATCGCCGACCGGCACCATCGCGCCTGGCCAGGTAAACCTGCCCGAAGGATCCCCCACTGATGAGGCTCACCTCAGGATCGACTCCCTTTCTCTCCACAAAACAATCAAGACTGACCCCCTCTTCAAGGAAGAACAGCGGAGTGTTGAGCAACATGCCAAGGAAGGGATCTGGTGACCTTCACTTTGCAAATCTTTTGCGCTTCCCCTTTTGAGATTTGCAAGTTTTGTCATGACTTCACAAGCTACAAACCCACCTCACAAAAGTCTGGTAGCCCGTCACGCCACAGTCAAGATTCAATCCCATTCAATGACCACGAGCACGAACTTAGGACATCTTAGGTGATCAGCCACACACACACACACACACACGATCCTGAAAACTAGGCGTCAGAACCTGTGAATCAACAAAAAAACAGTGAGATGACGAGCGGTCATAGCTAAGTCTTCGACGATTTGGATGTCCTCATGCGCACGTTTGAGGGTGGTGTGGATGGAACTTAGATGAACTTAGCCAGCTTGGGATAAACCTCTATAGGGAAGAAATTGTTCTACTCTACAAGGGCTTCTTGGTTGCTCATCAAAACCATTCCTAGAACAGCACCTGCGTCACCTACGAACAACGCTCAACGTATTTCAACACCTGGCAAAGCTGATGCAACCGAAATGGAAGTCACTCTTGCAAAATAGTATATACCTAGGACACTACCGTTTGGACCGAGTCTTCTTTCCCGCAACAATCAACTGTTTGGTAACATCTGTAGACTTTAGACTTTTTCAAAAATGTCCGGTGTTTGGTCAATGTAGCGGAATATGCACACACAATCCATCCAGTGTGTGGAACTGATGGACAGCAAATAATTCTGCACATTGGACAATTCTGTTCATTCGATTTAAAGGAGAAAAACTGAGGACTGCGAGGGTGACGTGACTCCTGGCCAAATTAGGTCAACAGCACAAAGGATCTTTAAGTTTGACAGGATCAGTATGCGTCTGCGAGCTATACACCAGAATTGCAATGTGTGAAAGTTCCTGATACATCATATGATAGGCCTGCTCTCAGATCTCACATTTATATAACACAAAGAGATTCCTCGGCTCCTCCACCAAGAAGATCCTCTGTTCGATCTTTCCCTTGTTCCTTTCACTCACACTTCTGTTCTCTGCTGCCACTGGGAGCCCCCAGACTTGCCAACTGATGGTCTCAGAGGGTAACAAACAGGCCTCAGCCAAGGGTAACAGGGGGGCGATCAGCCGATCAAAGTTTGGCGCTCCTGGGCGATCATATTGCCTGTAAAAAGGCTCCAGCACGAAATCCTGCACCAGCTCTTTAAAACTCAGATTCAATTATACAACACGGACTCAGACTCAAAATTCATGAACATGGGCATGTCCAGTTCCTCCAACAATGCCATAGAATTGCACCAACTCATCACGTCCTCGATTCTTCGCTCATCATGTCCAAAAAAAAAACGACTCACAGAAGCCTAGGAGCAATGACGCTACTAGCAACAAAGAGCTTCGCTACTAGGAGCAAGGACGCTACTAGTAGCCATGAATGGACTGTCTCACACCCTTTCAGCCCAGCAATTTCCCTCATGTGTTACATGTTCAACTAACCCAGGAAAAAGGTTTGGCCAGATCTGATCTGATGATCAATTTTGGAGAGGCACCCACCAGGCTAACTCACTTCACATTTCGGATGACCAGGCTGGTACCACCTCCCCACAACTGAGCCGCTTGGTCAACGAATAGAAGGGCGAAACTTGGCACGATCTGCCAAAGAGGTACTTCACAGCAAAGTGAAACAGGTGCTTCAATACCTATACCTCTGTATATAACATCTATTATACAGTAGATGTGTCTGTTGCATGATGAGGGAACTGGTGAAGCAAAGGTCCTCAATGGTTCTTAATCCAATTACTTGTCTTCTTGCTAATTGCCAAGGATCGTATCACTACGTGTCCCCGCGCGACGGGGTGCTTTTGATGTGACACATTGGACTTGCGAGACTTGGACGACCCAAATCATTTCCAATCAGTTCCAACAAGGAACAGTTCAGTGAGTCTGCCAGGTCCCACACACGGAGCTTGAGTTCATCTCCACCTGGGGCAGCTTCCGTCCGTGGATGGGACGAATGTTCCAAAACCCCCCCAGAATCCACGACGAAACAGGCGAGTCAGTTCCCACCATTGGGAGAGAGGCTGCTCCGATCCCGGAGCATTTCAAGTATATAACCGCACTTTTGGGGCCCTGTACTGCCCTTCAATGGCTGTAAACCTCTTCCAATGGTTGATATGTAGAACTTACCGAAAAGGACAATGAACGAGTCGCAACCCACCAAATCCACGCCCAGGAAGCCTAAGCGTGGAAACTCCAACATGATACCCAAAGGTCAATTCTTCCCTAGTCACGTCCTCTCACACAAGATGGGGCCAAAGGTTGAAGCGCATCTGCCGAGCCACCTTTCACCTCTTCCACTTCCGCGTGTCTCTTCGCGAAGTTCATCTCCTGACGTTTGCATGTCTTGAAACCTTGGGCCAGCCTTGGGTCAAGAAAACCAGATTCCCATGAATTCCCATGCATATCATCCGTTAGCGTACAGAATGTACAGATATCTTTATATGATAATTGCAGGTTGCGAAATCCAAACACGGACCCTTTGCTCAGCAGCACACGTCTAGCTATCGCGTTGTCATGCATCTCACTGGGGCAGTCGATCCTTTCCAGAGCAGCTCTCAGGCATAGAAGACTGTATACACTCCGACGAACACACCACACGGAAGTGGAGAACCAGGCCCCTGCTCGTAAATTGAGTGGTGGTGTCGACCATGTTCCGCATACCGGTAGTAATGATGGAACCCATGTGCTCCTCTGGGGTTCCTATGGGAGGGGTACGGGCGTCGTATGAGTCACTGAGCGAGCGGGGCCGTCATCGGCTGGCCCCGTGAGAGCCGAAAGGATGGCCGAAAGCCTTAGGCGGCCTTAGGCCAGCCGATTCTGGTCGATTCCGATTTCGGATGGAGACAGATTCTGAAATCAAGATCCCAACGAAAGGCAGCACACACACACACGGCGATATCCAAAATTGACATTGTGTTGCATCTCCTGATTTATTTTGATTTCAATCGCTGCACCTATATATGGAACTGATGGGAACTGCAACGCGGCAAATGCCACCGCTCATTGCTCCTCAACTTTGGTTTGCGTATGCTTGAAACGCATGTCTGCTTCAAGATGCATCTGACCACTTGGAAGAAAACCACATCATTTCCAAGCATGTGCATGCAATGCAACGTATCGTTCTTAGCTTGCTTGGAGGGTAATTCCACCCTCAGCAGCCTCAGCATACAAAACCAACAATGGACCAATCTGTGCCGTGAAGGTGTGGCTGATGTTTGTCCCGTCCCAAAGCCCCAGAATGGACGCAGAAATCACATCCCCACTCACCTGATAATACGCGGCCGCATGAGCTGCGCGAGCTGCTTGAGCTGCCGTGAGCTTCTGGTGTGTCTGGCGGACATGTGATAGTCCCGGGAGAGGGGATGTGATGTTTACGGAAAACATGACAGGAATGATGCTCCGAAAGGGGTGGCACACCCTGACCATTTGCCCATCTGGTAAACAGTGTTGTTTTCGCCGGTGTGCTTCTCACGTGCGGTGCCCAAATGTGCCCAACAGCTACTGCATAACGTATATATGCGCATATTTAAAGTTTCTTGCATGCATGTCGAGTCATGATGCAGAAGATGGTAACGACAGGTCAGCAAACCTTCCAATTGTTTTTATCAAATTGTCCTCCAGAATGTGACTGTCGAATGTGAGTCACCACGCAACTGTCATGTCAAAAACCACCGGAGTCGGAGCAGGAAGAGCCGACGGTCAGAGATGTCAGTGGGATGTGCCCTGTAAACGGGACTCTGAGAATCTGAGAACACCTGTCAATTCCCTCAACAATCACACTGAAACCACCGGCTTCTTTATGAATAGTGGTAGTGAACATCTGTTTTCACTCCTTGGGCTAAGTCAACGCAGCAAGTCGACCTTCGAACAGCCACCCGCTGCAGGACCCGCTGCTGCCAGCGCCCCAGCCTCGGGACCTGTCGGGTGTCACTGGTGTCGCCGGTGTCGGGACCGGTTTTCCTCACTCATGACTCATGTGAGTTTTCTGGACAATTCCCTATGTGATCCTAAAAGGCGGAGCTCAACACGCGATTGTGGGTGTTATGACTGATGCCCGTTGGCAAGCTGCTTTGGGCTTATCAGTGTTTTGAGGAACATCAGGGCATCTAGCTTTCACCTATGCAAGGGCCTCCCAATGGAGGTTACATGGTGTATCTACATGTTCATATATTACTGCATATTTAGATGAGTTTACTGGAACCTCGTTCATTCGAACACCCCTGGCAGTAGCGAGTACCTCAACTGAAAGTGTTCACTTATAGTTTTGTGTGTCCAAGCAAAGTTTCAGGAAAAACCTCAGTTTGCCCTTCGTTGCCATCTACATCGAAGCATTCCAAAATGCTAAATCATGATTTTGCTTAAGTCTACTATGCTGCATCTGATGAAACCTAGACTTCAACTGCTGCAGTCAGTAAGCTACGTAAGACTTTTTGGATTAATGTATAGCAGGTGCCAATGAACTGTTGAGTGCAGCGAATCGACGGATGGCAGTGAAATGTTCAAAGTGATAGGGGTTTGGTAAATTGTTCACTGTGAAAGCACCGACTAGTGGAGGCTAGTCGGTTGGGGTTTGACTCCAACCCCAGCCTTCCCAACTCCTCATGACTCATGACATGTCTCTACAAAAGAACGCAGAACAATCTCATGACCCAAACAACCCATGGATGACAATTGGAATATATGCCTGCATTGACTTCTTTTCAACCACCCCGGTGTAAGATGGAATGTCTGTGATATAAAAATATATTTATACATTATCAAATTAGATTACCCTAAGCAACACGAACCTTCAACCGTTAATTCAAAGGTCAGTGAAAACCACAATGTTTTTAATACAAACCTAGTGCTTTTGAACAGAAGGTTTTTCGGATGTTTCACTGACCCCTTTCTCATCCGGTCCACAGTGAATCATGAATGGAGGCTATGTGCGATTGAATGTTTCAACTTTGAGCGCATGGGAAAGCGTTCCACGGTAAAAACAACAAACACTTTTGTGCTTTCTGGTGTGCATACAAACGCTATGCAAAACATTTAGAAAATCCGTCCAAAGTTCTCCGGGGAGAAATATGCAAACAAAAACACATTCTAAACATCCGGGGTAATATGGGAATGTACGGGCTGGGCACGAGTTGCGAAAACACCATGATATTGCAAGACCTAAGGTTTTTGTTCCAAAAGACTGGCTAATCATTGTTAGCACGGGCAAGTTGGAGTAAACCATCGAAAAATAAGAGTAATCAAACAAATATGTCTCCTATCAAAATTTCAATCATCAACACATATCCCAAATATTGTGGCCTGCGCAGGCCAAATACCACTCATTAGGGACATGAGAACTACATATTTCACCAACAAAAAGTGTGCATATGGTTTGTCAATAGAATATTGTTTGATGCGTGTTGTTGCAGTCGCCACAGTAGCAGTATAGGAGTAGGAGTAGGAGTATGGGTAGGAGTAGGAGAAGGAGTAGAGGCAGCAGCAGCAGCAGTAGTAGTAGTGGTGGTGGCGGTAGTAGTAGTAGTAGGAGCAGTAGTAGGACTAGTATACACAGTCGTCGTAGTAGTAGTCGTCGCCGTAGTATAAATAAAAATCTTCAGATATAAAAACAGAAAACCAAAAATCACCAAAAGAGTGGCCCGCGCAGGCCAAACACCACGCATTCGTAGCAGGAAAAAATTCTTACCAACAAATGATCGACAAACAAAACTCATCCCGAACATCGTGGCCTGCGCAGGCCAAACACCACGCATTAGCGACGTGACATTTACAAGCAGCAGCAGCAGCAGCAGGAGGAGGAGTAGTAGTAGTAGTAGTACAAGATACGGTCTTAGTTGTTCATTATTTTTAACTTACCCTAGAAGAAGTCAGTTATATCTTAGTTATAACTTGAAGTTATAACTAAGTTATGTCGTAAATATAAGTTCCGATATCTTAGCAGAATGCTCCATACCACGCCTCCGCTTCAGTGAATACAGTCGACACTTTGATCAATCTGTCGCCACCAGCTCACCGGCAGCCATCGAGTCGGGTGGTCCAGTCGATGACAAGGATTGAAGAAAGGAGTTTGGTTGACGACAGCCGGCCGACAAAGGGCCGACTCATTGAATTACAACCCTGGTGTGTGTGTGTGTGTCATGTATACGTGTGTGTGGGGCCGACATGCAGCCGACGCGGGCCGACACGGCGAAATGCGACGCTGTTCGACGCGGGGCCGACAAAGGGCCGACAAAGGAATACTCCAAAAATTATACATACATATATATATATATGCAGAGATATACAGAATGTGGATGTATGTATAGATACAAGAAACTATCGAAGCGCGTGTAGTCCTGCTGCTGCCTTAGCATCTTTGCCATTGGCTCCGCAACGGTCGACATGCCTCAAATCCTTTTTTTCAGGGACACTTGAACCAAAGTCTGCACAATTTTTCTAGATATAAAACATAATGTTGTAACCACGAATAACTAGAAATAACTTGGTGTAACTAAGACCTAACTAAGTTATAAACTTCCACCTAACTACACCCGGGTTACTTATAACTTGCTGACATCTAACTTGTTCTATCCCAACTTAGTTATAACTTTATGTTAAGTTCATTAAGTATAACTATAGTTATACATACTTATCCTAATACAAGTTCTGTTATCGAATTGCAAGTTAACTTGTAGTTCATTACTCAAGTTAAAACTTACTTACAACTAAGACTCAGACTGTAACTCGTAGTAGTAGTAGTAGTAGTAGTAGTAGTAGTAGTAGTAGTAGTAGGAGTAGGAGTAGGAGTGGTACTTACACAATCCACACAGATCGGACATTATTTGATAGGATCGGACTTCGATCAAGCCGACGTCCGTGAAATATGAGCCGACTGAAATTGGGGTGGTGCTGCTGCTACTGCTTCTTCCTTCCTTCCTTCCTTCCTTCCTTCCTTCCATTTTATTCATCGCTTAAATAGGTGTTTTTGCCCGAGTGCCTGCCAGTGGTAGCCAGCGTCAGCCGATAGTTCGGGACAGGGTTTTTATTTGCCATGGAAGAACACATCTTCGGTCTCCCTCCCCGGTCAGTTGGGGATCGAATAGATGTGGTTGTCGATGTCCTTGACTCGACGGCTAGTGGCTGTGGGATTCGCTTGCTCCCTTTCGGTGTCGAGTGCTCTCTGCTTGGCTTGGGGCTTCCCTTGGGCCGTGTCTCGGTTTATGGATTGGAGGTCTTCGAAATTGACCCTTGCTTGGTCCTGGTTCCTTCGGCCGATTGTTGGTGGCGTAGTGCACCTGATGCCAAAGAACCGTTGGCTCCTTTCCTGCTTGAGCTCTGCGCTGGCTTTG